CTACGTGGGGCTGCCCTTGAAGACGGCTCGGAAGCTCCAACTGGTCCAACGATCAGCAGCCAGGATGCTAACGGGGGCCCCTTACAGAGAGAGGTCAACCTTTCTGTTTAAGGAACTCCACTGGCTGCCGTTTATATTCCGAGCCCAATTTAAGGTGCAGGTGCTTACCTACAAAGCCCTGAACGGTTTGGGACCAGCCTACCTGCGTGACCGCATTTCCATCTACGAACCCACGCGTTCTCTTCGGTCATCTGGAGAGGCCCTGCTCGTGATTCCACCAGCGTCGCAGGCGCGCTTGGTGGGGACGTGGGACAGGGTCTTCTCCGTAGTGGCCCCCCAACTCTGGAACACCCTCCCCAAAGACCTTAGACAGGCCCCTTCATTGGCTATCTTCAGAAAGAACTTAAAAACCTGGCTTTTCCGATGCACCTTCCCAGATTAGGAAATCTCCACTACCGAGTCCCACAAGCACTTTACCAGAACCAATGATTGCTGCACATCACACATCGCACTTGCCCTAGTAACCCTCTATACACCTCCTGTCAAATCAGCACTTTTAATCCTTGAACCCACCTTTTGGCCCGGCCCAGCTTTATTGTGTTTTAATGTGCTGTGCTTGTTGTTTATTTTGCTTTAATTTGTTTTAATTGTTTGATTTGCTTGATTGTATTGTTATGTTGTATTGTTGTGGCCTCGGTCTGTTGTAAGCCGCATCGAATCCTCTGGGAGATGCTAGCGGGGTACAAATAAAGTTTAATAATAATAATAATAATAAACAAATAAAAAAATTGCAATATTGACATTTGCCTCAAGCAAACAAGAGTTCTTTCTCCCACCCTGGACATTCCACAGATATATAAACTCAATTTTCCTAGTTTCCAACAGACCTCACAACCTCTGAGGATGCCTGCCATAGATGTGGGCGAAACGTCAGGAGAGAATGCTTCTGGAACATAGCCATACAGCCCGGAAAACCCACCACTACCCATCAAGGAAGCAAACAAGAGCCCCCTTCGCCCACCTTGAATTGCTGGTCTCTGTAGCAGCTGATCTCGCAGTACGAGTCGCTGTTGAGGCCGCTCAGAGTCGTGCTGAGGATGCTCGACATCTTGGGCCGCCGGTGATGGCGTCACTGGCCCTCCACCCGCCGTCGCAAAGAACACGGAGGAACCCATTGGCTCTCGCCGCTGTCGCTCAAAGCAAGCGCCCACCTCCGGTGACGTCACGCTCACTTGCAAGGGGGCGGGGGAAGGCAGAGTAGGAGGGAGGTGTGTTTTCTCTCTGATTGGCCCGCGCGATAAAGTGGGCGGGGCGACATTTAGGCGGGATTCTTCTTGAACAGCTTCTTTCAAGGAGATGCCTCCATGTTGTTTCACCTCAGCCTGACCCTCATCCATACTTCTGGCTTCCTGTAAAGAGGCGCTTCAGTCAGAAAGTGGCTTAAATTTTAACTCATGTATTTATAACACAACACACACACAGGGTTGTGTGGAAAATGGGGTTATTTCCCCACCATCTGCTGAAAATCCCCTTTTTGGCCTTCACAACCACGAAATACACAACTCCACAAAATACACAACTCTCATTCGCTCTAGTAAACCGAATACTAATACAAAAGGGTTCAATGGAAAGTTTAAAAATGTCCTTGATAGAGAAATACATAGTGTAAATGGAATAAAAAATAAACCTCAAATATTCCAAATGTTAACAGAATTTCAGTCAGGAAACGCCTCAAAACCCCGACTGAATCAATTCTATTGACATAAATGCAAGAGCTACAACAACCATTATAAAATGGAGGATTTCTGCATTGTTATTCACACAGATACAGAGTCCACCTTATCTATATAAATAAAAATGTAATGCTAGTTCGTGCTACCATCAGAACTCAAAAACCACTGGGGGAATTGACACCAAATTTGGACACAAGACACCTAACAGTCCAATTTATGTCCTCCACTCAAAAAAAAAATGATTTTGTCATTTGGGAATTGCCGTTGCTGGGATTTATAGTTCATCTACAATCAAAGAGCATTCTGAACTCCACCAATGATGGAATTGGGCCAAACTTGGCACACAGTGCTCCCATGATCAATAGAAAAAACGAAAGGTTTGGTGGACGTTGACCTTGAGTTTGGGAATTATAGTTCACCCACATCCAGAGAGCACTGTGGACTCAAACAATGATGGATCTGGACCAAACTTGACACAACAATTCCATATGCCTAAATATGAACACAGATAGAGTTTGGAGGAAATAGACCTTGACATTTGGGATTTGTAGTTACTGGGATTTATAGTTCACTACAATTAAAGAGCATTCTGGAACCCACAAACAACGGAAATGGGGCAAACTTCCCACACAGAACCCCCATGACCAACAGAAAATACTTAAGGCCACCCAGTCCAACTCCCTTCATCAGGGCAAGAAAATGTAATCAAAGCCCTCCTGACAAAGAGCCATCCAGCCATAGAGATAGATAGATAGATAGATAGATAGATAGATAGATAGATAGATAGATAGATAGATAGATAGATAGGATTCTCACACACACAGAGAGATATAGTATCACAGATTTGAAAGAGACCCTTAAAGAAGGACTATGATATGTTGCATATTCTAGAGTAGTCAAACCAGACACTCTCCACATCAACACTGAAAAAGAAACAACAAGAAATACTGTTTACTCACAAGCATAAAGGAATTACATATATTAGAAACCAACACTTTCTCATTACTTTTTTTTCCAGATCACCAGACTGGGCCACAGCAACGCGTGGCAGGGGACAGCTAGTGTGTGTATACACACACACACACACACACACACACACACACACAAAACCAAAAACAAGCATTTGATACAATTGACATACAATTGTAGCAAGATGGGATTGGCAGCTCCACTCAATGATAATTTCTTCTTCAAAATGCATGCATTTGCTTTGTCTTCAAAATAATTATAGCGACTATTCGCTATTGAAGGCTGCATTGCTTTGTGCCTCTCTGGGTGTATGTATATGTTTGTTTGTGGGATTAACATAACTCAAAAACCACTGGACGAACCGACACCAAATTTGGACACAATACACGTATCAGGCCAACGAGTGACCATCACTCATAAAAACACGGAAAAACACAGCAGAAGAGACTTACAAGCAAAAAAAAGCATTACAACGCATGCACAAAACTACATATATACACATACACACACATACACACATATATACACACACGAAACACATATACACAGACTGGGCCACAGCAACATGTGGCAGGGGGTGGCTTGTGTGTGTGTGAGTCATCGCCCGTTTTATACACACACACACACACACACACACACATATATATAACACAAACGGTCGATGACAAGCACCTATGTATATGTGTGTTATCTCTATATCTATGTATCTATATATATAACAGGGAGAGGCGGGTAATGCATTAATTATTGTTATTATTATATTATTTATATGTAGCAGAGAGAGTTAGGTAGCATAAGCATTATTATTATATCTATATCTAACATGGAGAGGCAGGTCATAAATTTATTATTATTATCTAGCAAGGAGAGGTAGATAACAAATGTATTATTATTATTATTATTATTATTATTATTATTATTATTATTATATCTATAGCACGGAGAGGTGGATAATAAATGTATTATTATTATATCTATATATTTAGCAGAGAGAAGCAAGTAATACAGTACATTCATTTATTATTATTATTGATATTGTTATTGTTTATTGCTTATTGTGTATTTTCTGTTTTTGAGTTTATTTTAACTGTTTTGTATTGATTATTGTTATTGCTTTTGTTTATTGATGTGCTGTGGGCTAGGCCTTATGTAAGCCGCACCAAGTCCCTTAGGGAGATGGTACAAATAAAGTATTATTATTATTATTATTATTATTATATCTATATCTAGCTGGGAGAGGCAGGTAACAAATTTATTATTGTTGTTGTTGTTATTGTTATTATAAATATATATCTAGGAGGGAGAGGGAGGTAACAAATTCATTATTATTATTAATATTATTATATCTATATATCTAGGGGAGATAAGCGGGTACTAAATTCATTATTTATATATTATCTATAGCAGGAAGAGGCAGGTAACAAATTCATTAATAATATTACTATTATTGTATCTATAGCAGGGAGAGGCGGGTAATAAACATAATTATTATTATATCTATAGAAGGAAGAGGCAGTTAATAAAGTCACAATTATAATATCTATATATCTAACAGAGAGAGGCACGTAACAAATGCATTATTATTATATATCTAGCAGGGAGAGGCTGGGAATAAATTCATTATTATTGTTATTATATCTATATATCTAGGAGGGAGAGGTGGGTAATAAATTAATTATTATTATTATATCTATATCTAGTAGGGAGAGGCGGGTAACAAATTCATCATCATTATTATGTCTATATCTAGCAGGGAGAAGCAGTAATAAATTCATTATTATTATATTTATATCTAGTAGAGAGAGGTGGGCAATACAATTATTATTATTATTATTACTGTATTATTATATCTATATCTATGGAGCTTCATATGTGAAGAAACCTATTTTGTTGAAATATTTATCTTCTGCCTTTCAACCCTTTTATGGGTCTTGCCCAAACAGCTACCTAATTCAACATTAACAGAGGAAAACAAATTAATCAAAGTTAATTTAGAGATGTCTTTGGAAAGATAATAATAATAATAATAATAATAATAATAATAATAATAATGGTAATGGTAATGGTAATGGTAATAATGAAGATAATATATTTCCTTTGTTACTGGCCTCTTCTCATGAGCCAAAGTTACATCGTTAAAATAAAAAAACACAAGGTCGTTAAAATACAGATATGAAATAGCAAAGGGTACAATCAAGAACGGTAGGCAAAACAAGTGGATAAACATGCTAATATCATTTCTTTTTCATTTCAAAGGTGTTCCTTTTGCGAATCGAATCCTGAAGAGGAAAACAGATCATGGAAATCAAAGGTGCAAAATATCAAATACTTTCTGTTCTGCATATGAATGTGGCAAAAAATCTGTGAGGGGGGGAAAACCCCAAAGTACAATTATTACTTTAATTAGTGAGTCTATTTTTGTATGAAACAAAGAAAGCAAAGAGGATCAGCCGCCAAAAAATGAATATTGGGTGACAGGATATATTATTATCTCTTCTCACTGAATGAACTTTGTAAGGAAGCAGAACACTTTGGTTACACTGAATTTGATGCAGTTGTCGCACACTCATTGTAGTATTGTAGTTCATGACTTGTGGTAACTTTTATCCAGCACAAAGTGTTTCAGGAGCAAAAAAAAAAAAACAACCCCATTCTTCATCAGGTTTGAGTCTAGAAATCTCACATTTTCCATTCCCACTTATTCTTCCTGATCTCTAAACATTTGTGTTATATTTGAATAGAGAATGATGATAGGAAGAACATGACATATCATTCCCCATCAACAAATGACAACAACTGTCAAGTCAGAAAGCCCAGAAGCTGAAGCTTTGGGCCCAGATTCACTGTCTGCGTCTCTTTATGGCAAAAGAAAGCCAAACATGTCACAAAAAAAGATGGAAAAAGCTCAGGGAACATAATTTTGAGTAAAGTTGGAGAATGGTAGCATTAACTATCACAGAATTGTGATCAAAGTTTATTTAATACTATTATTATTATTATTATTATTATTATTATTATTAGCCTCCCTTCATGGTTCAAGGTGGGTTACAACATAGTTAAAAACATATAAACATCTTAAACATTCTATAAAATACACATATTAAAACACTTTATATGTAGAGTTTTAAGTTCTATAGGGTTTCTAATTACATTATTATTATTATTATTATTATTATTATTATTATTATTATTATTATTATATACATAACAAGAATGGCACACTATGCTGGCTTTTGTATTTGATCACATGTAGGACACTTCCCAAGTGTCTAGGACTGTGTGATGTATTGGCAAATAATGCGCACAGATCCGAGTAGGGTGGCCTTTTGCAGCTGACGGATGGTAATTTTGTCAGTGCCAATTGTTTTTAAATGAAGGCCAAGGTCTTTAGGCACTGCACCCAGTGTGCCGATCACCACTGGGACCACCTTTACAGTCTTGTGCCAGAGTTGTTGTCGTCGTTGTCTCCTTATTCTTGTTCTTCTTCTTGTTCTTCTTGTTCTTCTTCGCCTCACTTATAAAGCATGGGATCCACATGAAAGTCTCATTATTCCCTCATTGATAAATGGCAAATTCCCTGAGATTTCTTCCTCTTCCTCTTCTTCTTCCTCTTCTTCTTCTTCTTCCTCCTCCTCCTCCTCCTCCTCCTCCTCTTTATCTTCATGTGAATACTATTGTCGTTATTACTATTAATATAATTTATATTGTTATTATTTTAACAATTTCTTCGTCATTTCTTCCTCAGTACTTCAGCTGTCTTTTTGTCCTTTTGTTTTCCTCTTGCGTGGAGTCCATGTCCTTTGGAAGCTTGTTTAGACCAAGTTCATGGCCTCTGAGTGTTCCTCCATCTGAATAAATAGGAGCTTGCTTTTGGAATAATAGAAATTATATGTCAAAAGGAGAGCATCAGAGAGGCTTAGGAAGGATAGGGCCACAAAATTGTTGGGAACCATTGCTCAAAGCCATGTTCTACGAACATTTTTTAAAAAAGGCTCATAGTATACCATTGATCATTAATATATTTTAATATTAAATGGTGGAGAGTTGGGATACCTTAAATTTTTCAGATTTTCTAGGTACTTGACCCTAGAATGTCCAAGTGTTCATGCAACGTGTTTCCTTTTAAAAGTTTATTTTGTTGTTTCCTCCAGTGTGTTTAGTTTCTTGTTTGTTTTGATAGTTAGAAAATGTAAACAGGCTGGTTTGTTTGAAAATGATACATTGCCTTTAAAGCTACTGTATACTTTGGCTTTTGTTGTTGCTTTTAATTGCAGAGCTCATTGAAAAACTGATGAGCAGCAAAGCCTCATCTGATGTACAAGAAGACACTGAGAAGCTGTTCAGGGATATAGAAAAAGCGAATAAAGAAAGTGTAAACGAGAGGGAGAAAGCCCAGGTACAAATATTGCAAACATTGCTAAAGATCTCTGGATGTAAGCATGGTGATGAATGAATATTTATATGTGTTTGAATACTGAGGAAATGTAATTTCCCATTTTGTACCAAGTTAGCTATAGAGTCTGTATGTGTCTACCTTCTTTCTTTGTGGTATATTCTGTCTCATTGTGAATGAAAGGAAATAACCTTTTGAGTGCTTCTTAAAGTTTAAAAAAAGTATTTGTGACATGGTATAGATGCACCCTTGCTGTGTAGATTCTAACCACACAGAATGAGGAAAATGGCTTTTTCTCTTGTTTATTTGGTGAAATATTGAATGCCATACTTTCCTTTCAATATGCTTTAAACCCTTTCAGAAAAATAAAACTGGTTCTGAAAAGCAACTGAATAATGAGGTTTTTCTGGTGAGATCAGCTCGCCCACCTCCTTCCTGTCCTTCAGAAGGATAGTAAAAATTGGTTGTGGACCCAGCTTTCAGGACAGTGCAATAAAGCAGGGACAGGAAACCTTACCAGGCCAATTAGATTAGACACAGATGATCAAGACGGTTTTAAACAGTGTATTTTATTATTGAGACAAATGTTTTTAATGTTTATATATGCATATAATGAATTAATGTCCCAGCATTGAATGTTTGTCGTTTGTATGTTGTGCTCCGGCCTGAGTCCCCTTCGGGGTGAGAAGGGCAGAATATAAATGTTTTAAATAAGTAAATAAATGATTCAGTGCCTCATTATTATTGTTATTGTTATTATTAATAGTGTTATTCATTTCTCCTCGAGGCTCGAGGTTGGGTACAACATTGTAAAAATACAAAGATAAAAACATAATAATAATAATAATAATAATAATAATAATAATAATAACAGTTTTGACATCCACCTCTCCTCAAGGCTCGAGGTGAGGTACAATATAGTTAAAATACATAGATAAAAACATAATAATAATAATAATAATAATAATAATAATAATAATTTTGTTACCTGGCTCTCCTTGTGGTGGGGTACAACATAGTTACAATAAATAGATAATAATAACAGTATTATTATTATTATTATTATTATTATTATTATTATTATTAGTTTTAATATCTGCCTTCCCTCAAGGTGGGATACAACATAATAAAATACATAGATAAAAACATTATTATTATTATTATTATTATTATTATTATTATTCTAGTTTTGTTATCTGTCCCCAAGGCTTGGGTGGGGTACAACATAGTTAAAATACATAGATAAAAACTTAATAATAATAATAATAATAATAATAATAATAATAATGCTTTGAAGGACTTGCACTGATTTTGAAAACCTTTACTTTCCATTCCTCCCAGTTTGAAGAAAATGCGGTCAACTTATGGAACTGGACTGTTGCCAGAAAAGAAGGCCCTATTCTCAGTGATATACAAAAAGTGAAGTGTATGTTTGAGTCCCCTCTTATAAACTTTTGATTTACTGGATGTATCAACATGTCCTTTTTTTCGTGGAAATTTGTATATGCTTTCATGGCTGTTAATTGCTGTCTTAATCAATTTTTCAGGATTTTAACTTCATTGCATTTGGTTTTACTGTAAGCCACTTTGAGTCTGTCCTGTACAGACAGAAAGTGGTGTATAAACATAAACATAAACATAATAATAATAATAATAATAATAATAATAATAATAGAAGAAGAAGAAGAAAAAGAAGAAGACATGCTGGTAATGATGTCAATACTGTGATGGGTAAATAGGGGGTGGGGGGTGGAATCCCTTATAAGAGCTAGGGGTGCACTTTCACTTATTGATAATACTGCAAATAATTGATATTCTGCAGCTCTCCTACATCACAAACGTGTATTTTATTATTTCTTTTATTGTTTGGCTAGGAACTGGAGATGAATAATCCTTGTCTAAGAATAGGCAATATCTTCTTATATTTGTAATACCATAATTTTTATTAAGAAATACCCCATATACTCGAATATAAGCTGACCCAAATATAAGCCAAGGCACCTAATTTTACCCCAAAAAACTGGGAAAATGTATTGACTTGAATATAAGCTGAGAGTGGGAAATGCAGCAGCTACTGGTAAATTTCAAAATAAAACTAGATACCAATAAAATTATCGTAAATTAATTGAGGCATCAGTAGGTTAAATGTTTTTGAATATTTACATAAAACTGTAATTTAAGATAAGACTGTCCAACTCTGAATAAACCATTATTATAACCTTCTTCAATGTAAATGTGCTTACGTATCCTTCCAATAATAATGCAGTAAAATAATAAATGTAATAAAAATAAAAATAATAGAGTAAAATAATGGAAATGTAATAATGACAGTAACAATAGAGTAGAATAATGTATGTAATAACAAAATAATAAATACAGTAAAATAATAAATGTAATAATAATAGATAGAGTAAAATAATAAATGTAATAATAATAAATAGAGTAAATAATAATAATAATAACAACAACAACAACAACAACAGAATAAAATAATAAATAACTTTGACGAGTATAAGCCAAGGGGGGGAGGGGGGTTCAGCCTAAAAAAGGGCTGAAAAACTCAGCTTATACTCAAGTATATACGATAAAGAAAACAAATTGAAGGAAACATAAATACCAGGAAATATAATGCTAACCTACAACTATATCTAAGACATTCATCCTAACAGAAAACAAACCTACAGCAATAAGCACATTCTGGACATACAACTACCAGGATTGATCTATGAACTTCACACTTGTTGACTGTTGATATAAGAAATAAACAGCACACAATATAAAAATACAGAATATTTTCTTCTTATAGTGCGACACGTTGCCTGCAGAATGATGTTAATTTGTGAAGTAAATGATCCTCCTGAGGAAATGGCACGCAGGCAAATTCTGGTAATGTAGTCCATTTCTGTTCTGCAACAGCAAGAAATCAGAAAGGTCTCTAAAAAGCTATAAGAATGATGTATCTTTCTTATATTGATAGATTTCAATTTGATGCTGTTTATTATCTAAGCCATGTTCCAAGAGGAAGATTTTAAGTAAATACAGGCATATATCTCTAGGCTTGGTAGGGATTATGTACCAGCCAGATTCATCATTTGAACATACATTTTTCTTGTGATCCAGATGGCCATGAAGACTGGGAAAGGCTGGGTAGACATTGGAGAGCCTGCTCTTGCTAATGAAGTCCTTGACATTGCCATGAACGTACGTTGTGCCGTCTTGTGTTGACTTGTTTTCTGAAGAAACGCCACTTGCGTTTGAGTATTTTAAAGGCATATTTATACTTTGCAGACTCTGGAGACACTCTATGCCCAGCTGACTAAGAGGAGCACGAGTGAGAGTGACATCCATGCACACAAAGCTGACATAGAGAAGGATGTGTTCAAGGTCCTCTCTTATCAGGCTGAATCAGTACGTGAGGCAAAAGATATCTCAAATCGCAGTAGCAATGTCAGAGTACTCCCTGCTCGCTTTTGTTTTTGAGGTGCATTGCTAGCATTATAAAATATGGACTTGCAACTGGTTTATGGCAATATGTCCTCACAATGCACTTTAATACCGACTTAGGATAGACTGTGCTCCCTCATTTCTCTCCGAAAAATCCTATCCTAGTTATATTTTACCTTGTTCATGTCAGCATATTTTCAATTTTAATCTATTACATTTGGCCCAGCCATTTAAAAAAATGTCACTATTGATTGTTTTTTGTTTACGTGATTTATATGATTTGTATTTTATTGATTGTTTATTGATGTTGTGTTTATGAATGTTTTGTTTGATGTACTTTGGACTTGGCCTCATGTAAGCCGCACCAAGTCCCTTGGGGAGATGGTAGCGGCGTACAAATAAAGTTTATTATATTATTATTATTTATAGCAACCTAACCGTTAAGTGGTGCATTTTACTGCTTCCTCAGGCAATATCTCAAGGGGATTTTCAGAAAACGACCGCCTGCATCCAGCGCTGCAAAGACATCCTGATGAGGCTGCCCAATGAAGTTAGTAACCCCATAACGGTCCCAAATTGATTTTTCACCTTATTGAAACTGAGTGGAGTTTCACACTGAAAACACAATGTATCTGTACCCGTTTCTAGCTTTGAAAAACATAACTGTGCATGAGTATGACCTGCATTCCTCCCATTGAATTTCAGACCTCTTACCTCTCCCTTCTGTGCTATAACTTTGGAGTAGAAATGTACCAACGGAAGAACTATGAACAGAGCTCCTTCTGGCTCAGGTAAGGCCATAGGAAAACAGGGACACGGATGAACTTATAGAGTCATAGAATCATAGAGTTGGAAGAGACCTCATGGGCCATCTAGTCCAACCCCCTGCCAAGAAGCAGGAATATTGCATTCAAAGCACCCCCGACAGATGGCCATGCAGCCTCTGTTTAAAAGCTTCCAAAGAAGGAGCCTCCACCACATTCCGGGGCAGAGAGTTCCACTGCTGAACGGCTCTCACAGTCAGGAAGTTCTTTCTCATGTTCAGATGGAATCGCCTTTCTTGTAGTTTGAAGCCATTGTTCCGCATCCTAGTCTCCAAGGAAGCAGAAAACAAGCTTGCTCCCTCCTCCATGTGACTTCCTCTCACATATTTATATATGGCCCTCCTCATATCTCCTCTCAGTCTTCTCTTCTCAGGCTAAACATGCCCAGCTCCTTAAGCCGCTCCTCATAGGGCTTGTTCTCCAGACCCTTGATCATTTTAGTTGCCCTCCTCTGGACACATTCCAGCTTGTCAATATCTCTCTTTAACTTCTCTCTTGGCAGGACACTGCGGGATTTACAGGAGGTGGAACAGCCAAGGCTGGAGCTACATTGACATATAATGCACCTTGAAACTGTTTTATATGGTGCACTTAAACTATATTAGAAGAGTATACACTGCTATATAACTGCATTATAAGGCAGTGTAGAATCCAGGCCAAGCTTTTGAGATCTTGAAAAATCATCTATCTGAACGGAATGTTGTGGCACCATCTAGTGGTTACAATCCTATGATTTTAAATTGTTCATTCATTCAGTCGCCTCCGACTCTTCGTGACCTCATGGACCAGCCCACGCCAGAGCTCCCGTCACCACCCCCAGCTCCTTCAAGGTCAGTCCAGTCACTTCAAGGATGCCATCCATCCATCTTGTCCTTGGTCGGCCCCTCTTCCTTTTGCCTTCCACTTTCCCCAGCATAATTGTCTTCTCTAGGCTTTGCTGTCTCCTCATGGTGTGGCCAAAGTACTTCAACGTTGTCTCTAGTATCCTTCCCTCCAGTGAGCAATCGGGGTTTATTTCCTGGATGATGAACTGGTTGGATCTTCTCGCAGTCCAAGGCACTCTCAGAACTTTCCTCCAACACCACAGCTCAAAAGCATCGATCTTCCTTCGCTCAGCCTTCCCTAAGGTCCAGCTCTCACATCCGTAGGTTACTACAGGGAATACCATGGCTTTGACTAGTCGGATCTTTGTTGCCAGTCTGATGTCTCTACTCTTTACTATTTTATCGAGACTGGACATTGCTCTCCTCCCAAGAAGTAAGCGTCTTCTGATTTCCTGGCCACAGTCTACATCTGCCGTAATCTTTGCACCTAGAAATACAAAGTCTGTCACTGTCTCCACATTTTCTCCCTCTATTTCCCAGTTGTCAATCATTCTTGTTGCCATAATCTTGGGTTTTTTGACGTTTAGCTGCAACCCAGCTTTTGATTTTAAATAGTGGCATGGAAATACATTTGGATAACCTTTGATGTCTCAAAGCAATAAAAGCACTAATTGCATATTTTTATTTTTACTTTGATATTTGTACTTCTTTGAGCTTGTTTTGTTTTAAACATGTTGCTAACTACCTTGAGTCCCATTATCAATGTAAAGGGGGGGAGGGATATAGATTCATCATCATCATCATCATCATCATCATCATCATCTGGGTTGCTGTGAGTTTTCCGGGCTGTCTGGCCATGTCCCAGAAGCATGCTCTCCTGGCGTTTCACCCACATCTATGGCAGGCATTCTCAGAGTTGAGAGTTGAGAGTAGTTGAGAGATCTGCTGGAAACTAGGCAAGTGAGGCTTGTATGCCTATCGAATGTCCAGAGTGGGAGAACTCTTGTCTGTTGGAGGCTTGTGTAAATGTTGCAACTGGCTACCTTGATTAGCATGTAATGGCTTTGCAGCTTCAAAGTTTGTCTGCTTCTTGCCTAGAGGCATCCTTTGTTGGGAGTGTTAGCTGGCCCTCATTGTTTCATCTCTTTGTTTCATCATGCTGCTCTGGCCAGAGCGAAGACAGAGGGGAGCAGAAGACATTTCCATCTTGTCTTCTGTCTTTACTAATAATATAATATAGTATATTGTATGTACATATAATATTTATAATATTATAATGTAATACAATATAATACTAGTAATAATAAGACAATATTATAATTATATATTTACATTACATGTAATATTACTAATAATATTGCAATTTCTCAAGTCACTCCTGACATGACAAAAAACCCCAATATAATGGTATAGTGCAGTATAGTAATATATAATACTGATATTGTACTATGCTAATAATATAATATATTGTATGAAAAAATATAATCTAAGCCGTTCTGAGTCCCCTTTGGGGTGAGAAGGGTGGCATATAAATGCCATAAATAAATAAATAAATAAATAAATATCTGGAATCCTCCCCCCCTTTTTTTTAAGTATTGCTTTTTATTTACTGTCCTGGTTTTAGAGTTGTTTAATACTGGTAGTCAGATTCTGTTCATTTTCATGACTTTCTCCTTTCTGTTGAAATTGTCCACATGCTTGTGGATTTCAATGGCTTCTCTGTGTAGTCCGACATGGTGGTTGTGAGAGTGGTCCAGCATTCCTGTGTTCTCAAATAATATGCTGTGTCCAGGTTGGTTCATCAGGTGCTCTGCTATGGCTGACTTCTCTAGTTGAATTAGTCTTCAGTTCTTTTCATTTTCCTTGATTCATGTTTGGACACATCCAACAGAAAAGAGTTCTTTCTTCCACCCTGGAAATTCCACAGATATATAAACCCACCTGCTTAGTTTCCAACAGATCTCACAATCTTTGAGAATGCCTGCCATAGATGCGGGTGAAATGTCAGGAGCGAATGCTTCTGGAACATGACCATACAGCCTGAAAAAATCACAGCAACCCAGTGATTCCGGCCATGAAAGCCTTCAACAACGCATAATAATAAACGTCACAATCCTTGCTGTTGCTTAACTGAAAACAGTCCTCTCCCAAAACTTGTTCCTTTCAAAGAAAGTATTTACTGTGATTTAATTATGTGTGCATATAATCTTTAATCAGGCACTCTTTATAATCGATTCCCACAATAATTTCATCCCACTTTCCCTACTGGAATTAAGAGAAATACTCAATCCCACCTAGTCGCAAAGTATTTCTGAATTCAAGTAGTTGACTAGGAAGCCTATTTACCAGTAAATTCTCTGACAAAATCTCTAACCTCAAGAAGGGACAGATGTGTACCTTTTGGCCTGATTAATTCCTACTTGATGGCTATTTGTGGGCCAATTTGGGGGAGTGACAGTTTCTGTGGGGAAGAGATGTGAATGGACAGCCAGTTTCATTTCTTTTTCCCTTTTCAACAGCCAGAGCTATGAAATTGGAAAGATGGATGTGAAATATTCAACTGGAAAAGAAATGCAGGTGAGAAAAGTTTGCAACCAGTTCTGTAATGTTATGATTTCTGCCTACATGCTAAAAGACCCCTCTTATTTCCACCCAAAGGCCAAAGTGCTGCGGCTGCTGGCGACCGTCTACCTGGAGTGGGACTGCCGACAGCATCAGGAGAAGGCTCTCAGGGCTGCGGCGATGGCCAACGAGGTGACGGGGCCTTCCTTTTTGGGACAACAGGATGGACAGAGGGGCTCGTCAGCAGAATCATACCCAAAACAAGCTTGTTCTGACAAAATGGGGTCAAACGTTAATAAGGAACACTATCAGAAGAATGAAGGAAGGAATCTGGTGACACGTTTAGCAAGTTTATTTTAACACAGACATTCATGGGCTACAGCAGGCATGGGAAAACTTTGGCCCTCCAGGTGTTTTGGACTTCAACTCCCACAATTCCTAACAGCTGGTAGGGGGACACCTGGCTTGAGAGCAGTACATGTGAAAAAGATCTTGGAGTCCTCGTGGACAACAAGTTAAATATGAGCCAACAATGTGATGTGGCGGCAAAAAAAGCCAATGGGATTTTGGCCTGCATCAATAGGAGCCTAGTGTCTAGATCTAGGGAAGTTAAGCTCCCCATGCTCTATTCCGCTTTGGTTAGACCACACCTGGAATATTGTGTCCAATTCTGGGCACCACAATTCAAGAGAGATATTGACAAGCTGGAATGTGTCCAGAGGAGGGTGACTAAAATGATCAAAGGTCTGGAGAACAAGCCCTGTGAGGAGCGGCTTAAGGAGCTAGGCATGTTTAGCCTGAAGAAGAGAAGGCTGACAGGAGATATGATGAGGGCCATGTATAAATATGTGAGAGGAAGCCACAGGGAGAAGGGGGCAAGCTTGTTTTCTGCTTCCTTGGAGACTAGGACGCGGAACAATGGCTTCAAACTACAAGAAAGGAGATTCCATCTGAACATCAGGAAGAACTTCCTGACTGTGAGAGCCATTCAGCAGTGGAACTCTCTGCCCCGGAGTGTGGTGGAGGCTCCTTTTTTGGAAGCTTTTAAGCAGAGGCTGGATGGCCATCTGTCAGGGGTGATTTGAATGCAATATTCCTGCTTCTTGGCAGGGGGTTGGACTGGATGGCCCATGAGGTCTCTTCCAACTCTTTGATTCTATAATTCTTTGATTCTAATCCCATGAATTCCTTAAGCTGCTTAAGTATTGCCATCATTCGTCGAATGCCTGCTTGCATAACCAAGTTTTCAGCTGTTTCCTAAACGTCAGGAGGGAGGGGGCCAATCTAATCTCACAGGGGTGGGAGTTCCACAGCCGAGGGGCCACCACCGAGAAGGACCTGTCTCTCATTCCCACCAATTGCACCTGTGAAGGCAGCAGGACTGAAGGCAGGACCTCCCCAGCCAATTTTAGTGCTCTAACTGGCTCATAAAGGGAGATATGCTCGGACAGGTAAACTGGACCAAAACCATTTAGGAATTTATAGGCTAAAGCCAGCACTTTGAATAGTTCTCGGTAGCAAACTGGCGGCCAGTGGAACTGATGTAACAAAACAGTTTTATGCTCCCTGTATGCCACTCGAGTCAGGAACCTGGCTGCTGCCCGTTGGACCATTTGATGCTACTGAACAGTCTTCAAAGGCAGCCCCACGTAGAGTGTGCTGCAGTAGTCTATTTGAGATGTAACAACAGCTTGGACTACCATGGCCAAGTCTGACTTCCTAAGGTCAAGGCACAACTGGCCCATAAGTTTTAATTATGCAAAAACTCCCATGGCCACCCTGAAAACTGGAGTTCCAGACTCAACTATGAGTCCAGGACGAATCCCAAGCTGCGAACCTGTGTCTTCAGGGGGAGTGTAACCCCACACCCTGTTCAGCCTTTCGACTGACCAGGACTACTTCCGGCTTGTCTGGATTCAGTTTCAGTTTGATCTCCCTCATCCAGACTCGTCACAGCTGCCAAGCAGTAGTTCACGACCTGAACAGCTTCCTTAGCATCAGGTGGAAAGGAGTAATAGAGCTGAACGTCATCTATGTATAGATGGCACCCAACGCCAAAATCTGGATGATCTTTCCCAGCAGCTTCTTGTAGATGTTAGGGAAATGTTACCAAAACCTGCGGGACCCCACAAAACAATAGCTGTGGAGTCGAGCAGGTGTCCTCCAGCAACGCCTTCTGGGAACAATCCTCTAGGAATGACTGGAGCCATTGCAAAACAGTTCCTCTAAGCCCCATTCCTGCAAAGTGTCCCAGAAGGATACTGTGGTCTACAGTATCAAAGGCTGCTGAGAAGTCCAGGAGAACTAACAGGGACACAACTCCCCCTGTCCTGTTAGTAGATCAGACACTAAGGAGACCAAGATTGTTTAAGTTCTTTTTTTCTTGCAAGAGAGCAGCTGATGGAGAAGAAGATTTCATGGAATGGGATCATTTTTCATCCCTAGATTAAAAGATGCTAAATAGTTTCGGCAGCTGACATTTGTGCTGCTATGAAAAAAGCTGGGGCACAATAGGAAGTTAAAACTTCACTTCCTCTCCCCTTGCTGCCTGTTTCCAAGCAAGAAGAATTAGAATTTCAATGCTCCGGGAGAAGAATCCCAAACTAGCAATCTGGCATCTCCAAGTGACTTGTTCCTCAGGATGTTTAAAATTATTCTAGAAGATGATTTGGAATATATATACACAAGGGAAGTGCTGATGAGAAGCGCTTGACATCCCTTCAGCGTTATGAATAGGCTGAGTTCTGACAGGCACCCGTTAAAAATATTCTGAAATTGGTAAAAATAGTTGAGCTGTCAAAATAATGTCTTGATTTCTTGATTTACAGGAGGATTTGCATCCAGCAGGGTTTTTGTTGAAACTCAAAATCCTCCTGAAAGGCGGTGCATCCGACGAAGATGTTAGCACAGGTAGTGTGAATGGTTTATCTCTAAAATCAAATCATACCTATAAAATCAGGCTAAATTATATGATTGAAGGATGGAAAAATTTGCAATGTCCTTTTGTTTCCTTCCTTTTTATCTCTAGCTGTTGCTGAACTCATCCACCATAAGCTTCCTCTGGATATTTGCCTGGACTCAGCAAAGCTGCTCCTGGAGCACGAAAGGTACTGAATACGCCTAAGTCTCCCTTTTTGGGAAACAATTATTTCATTTTTTGTTTGTCGATCAGAAAGATCAGCTAAAAGAAAGACCAAGAAAGACCACTTCATGGCTTTTCAGCAAATCCCACTTCTTTTTCCCTGGTTCTTAAATGGTACTTGCGATCAAGTTGGGCAAAACCGAAAACAAAGAGAGGAAGAAATAAGGCTGAAAATGGGACCAATGCAGAAAGTCGGGGAATACAACATTTTCCCCAAAATATGTAACCCTGAGTCACACTCACATCATATTTTGGCATGCCGGATGAACAGCCAGGGAACTAACTGGAAAATTGTTGTTGTTGCTGTTGTTGTCATTATTATTGTTATTGTTATTTATACCCCACTTTTTCTCTTCACAAGGAGGCACAAAGCAGCTAGCATGAGATTTCAGGATGATTGTAATATAAGCCTTACCCCAAAAATAAGCCCCAGTTAAGATCGTCGGACAGACTGACACATTTACTAGTAGTACCATCTGTTGGTACATGACGGGCCTACTGAATTATAAAATTATAATATTAATATATAAATAAATATAAATAAATAATAATGTTGACTATATTATGATGAGGTTCCAGAAGAAGATGACATGACTGTATTTGAATTAATGTAAATGAATACAATGAATGCATGTAGATTGAAGAAATTGAAGAAATGTAGATTGGGAAAGGCGTACGGCAGGGTTGTATACTCTCGCCCAACCTATTCAACTTGTATGCAGAACACATCGTGGAATGTGCAGGGCTTGATGAATGCAAAGCTGGGTTTAAAATTGCTGGAGGAAACATCAACAAACTTAGATATACAGATGATACCACTTTGATGGCCGAAAGTGAGGAGGAACTGAGGAGTCTTCTAATCAAGGTGAAAGAAGAAAATGCAAAAGCAGTGAAACATTAAAAAAAAACCCAAGATTATGGCAACATGACTGATTGATAACTGGGAAATAGAGGGAGAAAATGTGGAGGCAGTGACAGACATTGTATTTCTAGGTGCAAAGATTACTGCAGATGCAGACTGTGGCCAGGAAATCAGGAGACACTTACTTCTTGGGAGGAGAGCAATGACCAATCTCGATAAAATAGTGAAGAGTAGAGACATCAGACTGGCAACGAAGATCCGCATAGTCAAAGCCATGGTCTTCCCCGTAGTCACCTACGGATGTGAGAGCTGGACCATAAGGAAGACTGAGCGAAGGAAGAGAGATGCTTTTGAACTGTGGTGTTGGAGGAAAGTTCTGAGAGCGCCTTGGACAACGAGAAGATCCAACCAGTCCATACTTCAGGAAATAAAGCCCGACTGCTCATTGGAGGGAAGGATAGTAGAGGCAAAGATGAAGTACTTTGGACACATCATGAGAAGAAAGGAAAGCTTAGAGAAGTCAATGATGCTGGGGAAAATGGAAGGAAAAAGGAAGAGGGGCCGACCAAGGGCAAGATGGATGGGATCCTTGAAGTGACTGGATTGACCTTGAAGGAGCTGGGTGTGGTGACATCCAACAGAGAGCCCTGGCATGGGCTGGTCCATGAGGTCACAGAGTCGGAAACGACTGAACGAATAAACAACAACAAGATTGAAGAAATGAGCCACCCACTGAAAATAAGCTCTAATGTGTCTTTTGGAGTAAAAATTAATATAAGACCAGGTCTTATTTTCAGGGATATATGGCATAAGCACCCTGGTTGTACAGCGGGTTAAACCACTGAATTGCTGAACTTGCTGACCAAAAGGTTGGTGGTTCGGAGAGCAGGGTGAGTTCCTGATGTTAGGCCCAGCTTCTGTCAACCTAGCAGTTTGAAAACATGCAAATGTGAGTAGATCTGGTGGGAAGGTAATGGTGCGCCATGCAGTCATGCCAGCCACATAAACTTGGAGGTGTCTATGGACAACACCTGCTCTTGGTCTTAGAAATGGAGAAGAGCACCACCTCCCAGAGTCAGACATGACTAGACTTAATGTCAGGAGAAACCTTTACCTTTTACCTATGGCATATCTACCCAGAGTAGTTCAAAATCTCTGTTGATGATTTTCCTTTTGGCAATGTACCATAAAGCTTTGGTTGCAAAATGAATGAGGACAGCCATTTTAACTTTTAGTTGTCCCAGGGAGCCATGTAGCCAAGTGGGATCCTAGGAGGGCTTGGTGTCACTTCTCATTTAATGTGTAAACACTATTTTCTTGAAGTCAGGGATAGAAGCCTGGACTGTTTTCACCCCGTTGCCTTTGTATATTAAGGGAGGCCATTGGCTTCGACTTCCTGAAATCAATGGCTCGGCTCTTTGAAGACAACCCAGATGTCGGCAGAGTAATTCTCCTCCACATCAAGCTCTTGTTGCAGAGGATGAAGGAGCCACTTGCCAAAAGGATGATCGAGGACATCCTTGCAGGTCTGTACCCAGCTTCCCTTGATGGTGATGTATGGCTTCGTTTGGGGCAAGTATAGAAGATGTCAAAACAACTGTTTCAAGTTGAAGTTAAGAATTGTGTTGGCCCTGGCAGTGAAAGCCTTTCTGTCTGGCTATCTGATCTCATCACCATGTTGTTACATTATGTAACCCAATTTTTGTTCCTGGGTTATCAATGTTATTTCCTAATTGGTTCTATCATAAAAACATGGACAAAGTTTATTAAAATACAAAAACTTTGCTTTTGTGAGAGGAACATCCTGCAGCATTTTGCTCTAGTTTTTCAATGAATATCCTAGGATGCGGAACAATGGCCTCAAACTACAAGAAAGGAGATTCCACCTGAACATGAGGAAGAACTTCCTGACTGCGAGAGCCATTCAGTGGTGGAACTCTGCCCCGGAGAGTGGTGGAGGCTCCTTCTTTGGAAGCTTTTAAACAGAGGCTGGATGGCCATCTGTTGGGGGTGCTTTGCATTCAATATTCCTGCTTCTTGGCAGAATGGGGTTGGACTGGATGGCCCATGAGGTCTCTTCCAATTCTATGATTGTATGATCTCATTGAGTCTCAACCAATTCAACCTAGTTTGTAGCAGCTACAAAAACGTGTGTGGTACTTACTTTTAAAGTAAGTACCACACAATTCAACAGTTTCAAAGCAGGAACAGGACATTTTTCAAATTTTGTTACATTTTGTTACATGGTGTTGTTATTTATATCCTACTTTTTCTCTAAAAAAGACTCAAAGCACCTCACAATAAAGCCAAGGTATTGTCGAAGGCTATAAAACCTACAACAACCCAATAAAGCCAAGCACGATACAATTAAAACCTCAAAATATACAAACATTAAAATGGAATTAAATATTAGCAGTATTTAAAAAATAAGCAATAAAACCCTTAATGGCTTAAAAACCTGTTAATCGCTCAAATCATACCTTACAAGCCTATGTCTTTTCATAATTAATCTAAACACATTTGTTTGCTTGAATGAAAATTACAGGGGAAGTTAACACCGTTTAAACTTGCTGGATTGGGCACTCACAGAGCCACCAGCTTTTGCATACAAATATATTTAATGTCCTGGAGCTGGAAAAATGAATAATATGAATGACAAATGGAACCGCCCTAGATTATGATTTGGATCGTGTGATTTTAATTGATATTTTAATAATTGATGTTTTTAACTACTTGGATTTTAATGTATTGTTTATTTTATCTTATATAAATGCAGGGCATCGAATTGTTGCCTGTTGTTCCCGTCGGGGTGAGGACAGGGTACTAATGCCATACATAAATAAACAAATAAAAATGCTGGATTTCTATCTCTGCAGGGCAAACCATCGGAAAACAGCTGCCTCCTGAAAGCCTGAACCACCTACACCTTATTCTCTGGGACAGAGCTGCTCAGAACTATGAGGTTTGAGACCCCTTTGAAGCATTATCTATTTACAAACATATTACAAGTTCTCTCTGAGGGTCCAGAATGGGAGCAAATAATCTGTTAGTGGTGTGTGACATACTTTTGTCATCCTATTTTGCTTCCACATTTTGAGAATCTAGAGCAGTGGTTCTCAACCTTCCTAATGCTGTGATTCCTTAATACAGTTCCTCATGTTGTGGTGACCCCCAACCATGAAATTATTTTCATTGCTACTTCATAACTGTAATTTTGCTACTGTTATGAATCATAATGTAAATATCTGATATGCAGGATGTATTTTCATTCACTGAACCAAATTCGGCACAAATACCCGATACACCCAAATTTGAATACTTGTGAGGTTGGGGGGATTGATTTTGTCATTTGGGAGTTGTAGTTGCTGAATTTTATAGTTAACCTACAATCAAAGACCATTCTGAACTCTACCAATGATGGAACTGACTCAAACTTGGTACACAGAACTCCCATGAGTAACAGAAAATACTGGCAGGATTTGGTGGGAATTGACCTTGGGTTTTGGAGTTGTAGTTCACCTACATCCAGAGAGCACCATGGACTCTAACAATGATGGATTGGGACCAAACTCGGCACGAATACTCAATATTCCCAAATGTAAACACAGGTGGAGTTTGGGGAAAAATAGACCTTGACATTCAAGAGTTGTAGTTGCTGGGATTTATAGTTTATCTACAATAAAAGGCCACCAACAGAATTTGGCCACACTTCCCACACAGAACCTCCATGACCAACATAAAATACTGAGTTTTCTGATGGTGTTTGGCAACCCCTCTAACATCCCCTTGCAACCCCCCCCCAAGGGATTCTGACCCCCAGATTAAGAAACACTGATCTAGAGGCATTGTCTTAACAAAGTGGTACACAGAAAGGTTTAGCAAGAAATTAATTCTTATAAAATGACATTGAAAGTAGCTGAATCCTTTGCTGTTTCCCACCCCCTGATCCCTCCATAATTCTCATGGTCTCTAGAACCATATATCAATAAGATATATACACACACACACACATTGATATATAGAGGTGGGGGGAGAGAGAGCATATTTCAATAATTTTTGGTTTCTATATACAAACACTGAAGTTTTTTTTTAAAGTGGCTCTGATAAAATGCCCATAACAATTTGCAAACTGGGAAGACTTATTTCAGAACAGCAGCATTCATTGCAAACTGAGTGCATGCTGTTCATCAAGTGCCACTTAAAGATTTCCTCAACTCATGAAGATATGTGAATAAGCGAATATTTTCATAGGACTAATTTTGGCTCACAATATGTTGCAGCTGTCAGTTCCAAAGACTTAATGTCTGGCTTGTAGATGAAAAAGGAGTAATTTCATTGGAGACAGATACATGTATACTAATGCCTTTATGTTAAGCTGATTTGGGTCTCCTTCAAGAGAGATATAGCAGGGAATAATAATAATAATAATAATAATAATAATAATAATAATAATAATATCGAACTGCAAAGAGTCTGGCACAAACCAGTCAAGGTGGTCCCAGTGGTGATTGGCACACTGGGTGCAGTGCCTAAAGACCTTGTCTGCACTTAAACACAATCGGCGCCAACAAAATTACCATCTGCCAGCTGCAGAAGGCCACCTTACTGGGATCTGCACACATTATTCGCCGATACATCACACAGTCCTAGACACTTGGGAAGTGTCCGACATGTGATCCAATTCAACAGCCAGCAGAGTGTCTGCTGTGGACTCATCTTGTTGTGTTTATAATAATAATAATAATAATAATAATAATAATAATAATAATAATAATAGAGCCCTCAGACTCCTTCATCCTGCTTGTTCAAAACCCAGGACTTGCTGAGGGCCAACATAAAGCAGTGCGTTTAAGATATTTGTCTTTCTTCTCAGGCCAAAAGCTACTCCGAGGCTCTCCTGTGGTACAACTATTCCCTCGGCTTCTACTCTTCGGGGCAAATGGACCACCAGAACTTGGCTAAGCTGCACAGAAATATGGCCGCTTGCTATCTTCACCTGCAGGACCATGGCAAGGTCTTCCTTCGGGGTCTTTCCCTCCAGGCATTCCCTCTTCCATGAGCTTATTATGAGCAATCTTTTAAAAAAATGTATTTCAATTTTTAGGTTAGTTACTGAATGATAAAACGAAAATACTCTAGGCTAAAAAGCTATAGAAAGAAAAGAGCAAACCAGCCACGGAGCTTATGCACTGTCTTTTGAAATCTCCTTCTGTTTGAACTGATCAGAGCTGCTTTTAGACTGAGAGAAGTCTCTTTCTGACAGAGGATATCTTCTTTCTTCATTGATGTAATGTCAGAGAGAAACACTGTACCCATCCCAAGAGAGTTATTCCTCTTTTCTGGCACAAAGGCAACAATTGGGTTTACAAGAGTGCTTCGTTATCATCACAACCCAGTGAGGGTCAGATAATAATAATAATAATAATAATAATAATAATAATAATAATAATAATCTTTATTTATACCCCGCCACCATCTCCCCAACGGGAACTCGGGGTGACTTACATGAGGCCAAGCCCGGACAACATATTACAGCAAAATTAAACCAAAACATAAGCATCAAACAACAGCATCAAAATTGGGTTGTTGTAGGTTTCTCTGGGTTATATGGCCATGTTCTAGAGGCATTTTCTCCTGACGTTTTTTGCCTGCATCTATGGCAAGCATCCTCAGAGGTAGTGAGGTCTGTTGGAAGTAGGAAAATGGGTTTATATATCTGTGGAATGACCAGGGTGGGACAAAGGACTCTTGTCTGCTGGAGCTAGGTGTGAATGTTTCAACTGACCACTTTAATTAGCATTTGATGGCCTGACAGTGCCTGGGGGAATCTTTTGTTGAGAGGTGATTAGATGTGCCTGATTGTTTCCTCTCTGTTGTTTTACTGTTCTAATTTTAGAGTTTTTTAATACTGGTAGCCAGATTTTGTTCATTTTCATGGTTTCCTCCTTTCTGTTGAAATTGTCCACATGCTTGTGGATTTCAATGGCTTCTCTGTGTAGTCTGACATGGTGGTTGTGAGAGTGGTCCAGCATTTCTGTGTTCTCAAATAAAATGCTGTGTCCAGGTTGGTTCATCAGGTGCTCTGCTATGAGTGACTTCTCTGGCTGAAGTAGTCTGCAGTGCCTTTCACGTTCCTTGATTCGTGTTTGGGCAATGCTGCGTTTGGTGGTCCCTATGTAGACTTGTCCACAGCTGCATGGTACACGGTAGACTCCTGCAGAGGTGAGAGGATCCCTCTTGTCCTTTGCTGAACGTAGCATTTGTTGGATTTTCTTGGTGGGTCTGTAGATGGTTTGTATATTGTGTTTCCTCATCAGTTTCCCTATGCGGTCAGTGGTTCCCTTGATGCATCAAAATTACATTTAAAAAAAACACATATGAATACAGTAACAAAATAAACACAATCGCAGTGACATTGGGCGGGCCACATGTGCAGGACAAAATGTTAAAAAAAACTCAAATGAGATAAGAAGAGGAGCAAGTTATTTGCAGGAAGCTCACAAAGAAACACAGGGTTGTGAAACCAAACTTCCCATTTAGGGGGAGTGTACTCCAGTGACAGAAGCGTTGAGGGGAGCAGTAGTGTCATGTTGTACACCTACTCACCAAATGCGCAGCAGAAGACCCAGGTTTTAAGGTTCTTTTTTAAAGTTTCTAGTGTAGGGGTTTTCCTGATCTCTCCGGGTAATGAGTTCCAGAGTCGGGGAGCCACAGAGGGCAAGGCTCTCTCCCTTGTGCCCACAAGACGAGCTTGTGAGACTGGCAGGGGCGAAAGGAGGGCCTCCCCCGAAGATCGAAGGGCCTGGGTTGGTTCATGGAGAGAGATAACATAAGATGGAATGAGAATTCAGCTCTAGGCCAAATCCTTCCTCCTTGTAGCAGGATTGTTAAAATGTAGCATTGCTTAATCTAAAAACAGGGTTTGAATTAGCAATATTTATTTATTGATTATAGAGGTTTCTATGCCGCCTTTCTCCAGGATAGACCCAAGGCAGCTCACATCATATTTAAAAATATACATACAAATAATTAAAAATCACAGCGAAACAAGTATTAGAGCAGTGTTTCACAACCTGGGGGTAAAATAACAATAGGAAAAAATCAGTAAAAAGATAAAATAATAAAATATGCCCAGATAATGGAACAATACCAAATAAAAATATCAATAACATAAGCATAAAAAGAAATATCAGTATAATCAATAAAAATATCAATAAACAAGGGGACAACATCAGAAGGGAGGCTTCTTGTCTGGGGCTGTTTGGCCAACGTTGTTATAGAAATACTTTTTCACTTTAGTTATTAAAGATCCAAAGCCTAGCAATAAAGCAAACGGAATCAGCATATTTCCCTTCCTCTCTGTGTCTCTTGTCAGTCTCTGCCTGACTCTGCTTTAAGTCTTCAGCAACATCCTGATAAATCTCTCCATTTCTAGGCTCACAAGGCTGTAAAAGAGGCAGAGAGTTATGATCCAAGCAGCATCTTCACTCAGTTTTATGTGTATAAAATAGCAGTCTTAGAGCACAACACCCAAAAAGGTAAAACAACAAAATCTTGTGGTGGAAGAGAGCATAATTTTACTGACTTTGGTCTTGTCTGATATTCAGGGCAAAAGGGGAATCATTTTTAACATATTTAGTTGCATCGTATATGGAAGGTTTGGCTGAATCACAGTCAAAGTTGCTGGTTTTGTGTAGCAGTGATCGCTTGCCGGCGCAGGATGCTCTCACCGTCTTAAATTATTTTATTACTTTATCTCAGCTTTTATCACTGCTATTTAAATATATAATATAAATATTTAATACTCATGATTGACATTGTTTCTTAACTATGTTTAAAAATGGTATTTAATGCCTAAACATATGTTGTGCTGGTACAGCTGTACCAGAAGCTCCCACTTTATTTGCTTTGTATTAAGTGTTTGCTTGCAACCCAAGGCTTGGGATTTTGCAGAAGGGTGGCTTCCTGTTAAAGTTTGCAGTTATAGGGCAGGCCACCTGTCCATCATCATTAGGTTCCTTAGTTCCACCCCCTTTTTGGGTTTTGGAGGGAAGGGAGCCATTTTCAGTCAGTCACACACAAGGAAGCTAGTCTATAGGACGTAGACAGCTCGTCCCGTAGGAAAAGCTTCATTCCTCAGAATCATCCGGGGATCATCCAGGGAAATAGAGACAGAAGGAAAAGATCCCAAAGGCTCTGGCTGAGAGCTCACAGCTTCTCAGCCTCACAGCACCAGAGGGGAAAACAGCCCACAGGACAGCATTACAGAACCACTGAATTCCAGCTGAAGTATCTTCAAGCCTTGGCTGGTAGGTTTACTTGATGTCCAGACGCATTTGGGATCGGTAGTAAGACCCAAACCAGCGAGGCCCAGATAATAGACAGCCTGGGAGAGATTATAAAGGGTTCTTCCTCATGCTGAGAAAGTACAGTTAATTCAAGTCAGTGCCAGTCTCTTAAAGACTAGAATAAGAAAGTGTTGTTTGAAGATTTGTTATTTGCTCCTTAATAAAGACTTTGTTGTACCATTAAAGACTCCAAAGACCATGAATTCAGGAAATCCCTAACAATCTCTCTTTGAGGCACCCCGGCTTCCCACTGGGTTAAAGTATACGTCCTATAGAATAAAGACAATTTGTTCAGACCCAGTGCGCGACAGAACATATGTTTTACTTACATTTTACTGCTTGTTTTAATACTGGTTACTGACCAAAATTAAATATTCATTCATACTGCATGCTAGTCTACTTTACACATAGATATGTTTGTATGTGTCTTTGCATGGCGGTATTTTGGATCCTGACAATAGAAATTGGAAGCAGATCAATGAATGAGTATTAATATGGAGTAATCATTGGAGTCAAGAGAGGAAGCAGCCGAACCCCATATTGTTTGTATAGAAATAGGTGTACTTTTCTCCCCTTTGGACCGGCCAACTGTGGGCCAATTAAGCTGAAAATTTGAGTAACTTGTTTCCTGCTTCTATCAATGTCGCCTTTCTTATATTTTAGCTTTGGATGCTTTTGTCGCAATGGAGAAATCCACAGCAGATCCAACACATCACAAAGATAAGGTGTTAATGGATGGATCCATGGCTGCCAACCTGATCAGCTTAGCAGCCCAGTTTGCTTTGGAGGTACAAGTCGAGCCTTTTTAAATGAGCAAAATATTCATAGGTGGACTTACTTTGTAAATAGATACAGAATAGAAGCCGGCCCGAATACAAGCTGGGGCACCTAATAAATGGATGTGATACCTGCCTCAACAACAGGGATAGCTATCGGTTGGAGGTGCTTTGATTGTGTATTTCCTGCCTGGCAGAAAGAAGGAGGCTGGACTGGATGGCCTTTTGGATCTCTTCCAACTCTAGGATTCTATGACAGCCTGAATATCCATCTGTTGGGAGGATTTTGATTATGTCTTTCCTGGCAGAAAGGGTGTGTGCAGACTGAATGACTATCTGTCTGGAGGGATGGTGTCCTTTCTGGCAGAAAAGGGGTGGATGATCCCTGGGGACTGTTCCAAATTTAGGATTCTATTATTCTGCGTTCATCCTATCCAGGCCCATAGCCAGGATTTTGATTCGAGGGTGGGATGAGTTTGATTTTGGCGGGGGGGGGGGGGGGGGGTGTGCTGAGGATTTACCCTAGCAAACCTTTTGTATCGTAACCCCAATACCCCCATGCATATGGGATATATTGAGCATGGTGATCAGATCATGATATGAATAAACATAATGGACCAACACTCAGAATTTCGGGGGGGGGGGGGTGTGAAGTCTGATGGCTGATTATTTCTTTATTTTTATTTACAGTATTTATATTCCACCCTTCTCACCCCGCAGGGGACTCAGGGCGGATTAAAATGTACACATATATGGCAAACATTAAATGCCAAAGACCCACAACAGATATAGACAGACAGTCAGAGGCTATTTAACTTTTCTGGCCGCCAGGGGAGCTGTCACTTCCATCGTCCATCTGCGACACTGATGAAGTACTTCTACATTCCCCGCATGCTTTTTGCTGGAGTGCTTTGCTGGAGTCTTTTTTATGGCCTCGTAAATTTTGTTAAATTAGCCTCCCCACACATAGGTGGTACCTAATTTTCCTACTTGACAGATGCAACTGTCTTTCGGGTTGCAAAGGTCAACAACAAGCTACACAATTTTTCGGAAGCTCACTCCGACCCGGGCTGGCTTTGAACTCGTGACCTTGTGGTCAGAAGTGATCTTAATGCAGCTGACACTCAGACAGCTGCGCCACATCATGCCATAGATATAACTCTTTGTATCAAATACTAATTCAATTTATTGTTCCCTAGAATGATGAACAGGCTGTGGCAATTGAAGTATTGGGATATTTGTCTATGCATCTCCAAGACAGCCAGCAAGTATTCACAGCTTTAAAGTGAGTACCATTCTGGTAGCTAGAGCCACAAGGTAAACAACAACAACAATAACAACATCCTTCAGTTGATATTTGTCACTATATATGTCCCTGGTGGTGCAGTGGGTTAAACCGCTGAGCTGCTAAACTTGCTGACCGAAAGGTCGGTGGTTTGAATTTGGGAAGCAGGGTGAGCTCCCTCTGTTAGCCCCAGAATGGGGTTGGACTGGATGGGCCATGAGATCTCTTCCAACTATATGATTCTATGATTCTACACAGCGGGTTAAACCGCTGAGCTGCAGAACTAGCTGACCAGAAGGTTGGTGGTTTGACTCCCTGGGATGGGATGAGCTCCCACTGTTAGCCCCAGCTTCTGCCAACATAGCAGTCTGAAAACATGCAAATGTGAGTAGATCAATAGGTATGGCTACTGTGGGAAGATAAAAGTGCCTATGCAGTTATGCCAGCCACATTACCTTGGAGGTGTCTACGGATAACGCTGGCTTAGAAATGGAGATGAGCACGACCACCCAGAGTCGGACACGAGTAGACTCAGTGTCAGGGGAAACATTTACCTTTACTTTCAGTTAATATTTGTCACCTGAATTTTGACATCTGATTTTTTAAAATTTGTTTCAATTTTTTTTAAAGAACTGATCTCATTTGGAAAAGTAAACTGACTTTAGAGACCCTGGTTTTACAGTCCTATACTACCATTCATAAAATGCTGATTGATGTATGATTTCCAATTAAACAAATATTTTTGTGTGGAAAAAAATATTTGTCACTATATATGGCTTCTATAGTGATGATGATGTGGAGATAGAAGCCCTGAAAAAAGGGCTGCTGCTTTGAGCCATAAAGGTGGCAAAAACTTCATTTCGACAGGGATTTCTTTTGCTTTGCAGGTGTTTGATTCGACTTACTTTGTCCAAAGCTGCAGCAAAACCTGAAGAGGAAACGTGAGTTGCGCTCTTTATTTTATTTATTTATTTACAGCATTTATATTCCGCCCTTCTCACCCCGCAGGGGACTCAGGGCGGATTACAGTGTACACATATATGGCAAACATTCAATGCCAATTTTAACATACAACATATACAGACATACACAGAGGCTATTTAACTTTTTCTGGCCACCAGGGGAGCTGTCGCTTTCATCGTCCATCTGCGAACTGATGAAGTACTTCCGCACTCCCCGCATGCTTTTTTGCTGGAGTGCTTTGCTGGAGTCTTTTTTTTTATGGCCTCATAAATTAGTTAATTTAGCCTCCCCACACTTTAAGGTGGTACCTAATTTTCCTATTTGACAGATGCAACTGTCTTTCGGTCGACAACAGGCTACACAATTGGTTGGAAACCCACTCCAGCCCGGGCTGGCTTTGAACTCATGACCTTTTGGTCAGAGTGATCTTAATGCTGCTGACACTCATTCAGTTGCCTAAGAAAGACTTTGTTGTCTAAGAAGAATTCCTTGAGACTGTCTTGCTAAAAGAAGAACTCTTTTGAAGACAAAGATAGAGACCTTTGAATTCCTTTACTGAAAGGATGGACTCTATTACCTTTAGTCTGTTACTTATTTCTCTATGTTAATGTGCTGATAACAGTTTTGTTTAATGCTATAAAGTGTTAATGTGCTGATAACAGTTTTGTTTAATGCTATAAAGTCTCAGACAAGTTATGTCAATAGAGAATATTGTTGTATATTACTTTCTTGAGAGTCTGTTAAGATTTACATACATACATTTTTGTTCTATGTTATTATAGATACTTGTGCATTGTTTGCTTACTCATTCAGCTGCACCACAATCCTGGTGTGCCACAATCTTTAGGGCTATTGCATTTCTTACATGAGTGAAGGCGGTTAGGTGGCAGCCCAGAACTGGTGGGATAGGTGAAGGTGTATAACATGTGAGCTTTAAACAACCACCAACATCATGTTTATTGGACCTGAGTTCAAAGCTTGAGTTGGAAAGGGTTCTCATTAACCATAGCTCTAAGATCTTCTGGGGAGGCCCTCCTCGCGGTCTCAAGCGCGATTGGTGGGGACAAGAGAGAGGGCCTTCTCGGTGGTGGCCCCCCCGCCTCTGGAATGTCCTTCCAAGGGAAATAAGACAGCCCCCATCCCTCCCCTCCTTTTGTAAGAGCTTGAAGACCTGGTGGTTTCAACAAGCCTTTGAAAATGACCAGTTCTAACGGCCTTATTTTTCCTATCAATTACCCAGATTCTTTCCTCTAATCGGCCCCGGAATGAACAGCCACAGACCCGTACCTAATATTATTGTTGCCTGTCATAGCATTGCACTTAATTCCCGGGCCCCCTAGAATTTTTGGGCTTGCACAAATCTTGGCCCGGCCTTTTAAATTTTTTAATTGCCTTGAACAGGCAGGATTACTTTTAATATATGTGTGTTATGGCGATGATTTTTGGGCTTATATTTTGTTTTTGTTAATCTTATGTTTATGTTGTTTTACTTTGCAAGTTTTGTGATGTTACCTGGGAACCGCTCTGAGTCCCCTTGGGGAGATGGAGCGGTATATAAATAAAGTTTTATTATTATTATAACCCTATCTATGCTGCCATATGGTAAGGGTAGACCAGGCATGGGCAAACTTGGGCCCTCCGGGTGTTTTGGACTTCAACTCCCACAATTCCTAACAGCCGGTAGGCTGTTCGGAATTGTGGGAGTTGAAGTCCAAAACACCCGGAGGGCCCAAGTTTGCCCATGCCTAGTATAGACTCATAGAATGCAAATTGAACTGGATTATATGATTCTACACGGCCATAACATCCAATTTAAATCTGCATTATAATGGCAGTGTCGATAGGGCCCAGGCCTCTGTTCAGGTATCCATTTTGTCACTCTCTTTGTTCCTAGAGACATGGAGAACCTTCTAAGACACCTGACTACAGGTAGGCAGCAGATAGGCTTCAATTCCATGACAGAGATTTCTCTACTTCGCTCTTGAAAAGCTCCAATGAGATTTCTTAGTACTTCTCATGCCTTCTTGCTCTTAATGCGCCACAGCTTACGATCGACTGGAACGGATATTCAGAGACGAAAGCGAAATGCTGGAAATGAGAGTCAGCAAAGCTCAGTGGTTCAAGAAGATAGGTAGGCAGCAGGGCTGGAGTCAGAGATAATTGTTACTGTGTAAACAAGGTTTGAAATGTATTGTCGAAGGCTTTCATGGCTGGAATCACTAGGTTCTTGTGGGTTTTTTCGGGCTATAGGGCCATGTTCTAGAGGCATTTTATCCTGACGTTTCGCCTGCATCTATGGCAAGCATCCTCAGAGGTAGTGAGGTCTGTTGGAATTAGGACAATGGGTTTATATATCTGTGGAATGGCTGGGGTGGGGCAAAGAGCTCTTCTCTGCTGGAGCTAGGTGTGAATGTTTCAACTGACCACCTTCATTAGGATTTGAAGGCCTGGCTGAGCCTGGGAAAATCTTTTGTTGAGAGGTGTTAAGATGTGCCTGGTTGTTTCCTCTCTTCTGTTTGAAATCTTTTCCTTTATCCTTTCTCTGTGCTACAGTTGACTCTTGTGTCATTTCCTCTATAGCTGCTCCTTGGGTTCATCACAGATATCATCGTCAACAGATTTTTTTTTTTAATTAGAAACCTATCCATTTTAGTGGTCATTACTGCAACATTCATAGAATCATAGAGTTGGAAGAGATCTCATGGGCCATCCAGTCCAACCCCCTGCTAAGAAGCAGGAATATTGCATTCAAAGCACCCCTGACAGATGGCCATCCAGCTTCTGTTTAAAAGCTTCCAAAGAAGGAGCCTCCACCACACTCCAGGGCAGAGAGTTCCACTGCTGAACGGCTCTCACAGTCAGGAAGATCTTCCTCATGTTCAGGTGGAATCTCCTTTCTTGTAGTTTGAAGCCATTGTTCCGCGTCCCAGGGAAGCAGAAAACAAGCTTGCTGCCTCCTCCCTATGACTTCTTCTCACATATTTATACATGGCTATCATGTCTCCTCTCAGCCTTCTCTTCTTCATGCTAAACATGCCTAGCTCCTTAAGCCGCTCCTCATAGGGCTTGTTTTCCAGACCCTTGATCATTTTAGTCGCCCTCCTCTGGACACATTCCAGCTTGTTAATCTCTCTCTTCAATTGTGGTCCCCAGAATTGCACACAATATTCCAGGTGTGGTCTAATCAAGGCAGAATAGGGCATGGGTAGCATTACTTCCCTGGATCTAGACCAGGGGTAGGGAACCTTTGGCCCTCCAGCTGTGGTGGACTTCAACTCCCACAATTCCTTGAGGCTTGGCATTCGCCCCAAAGGCTTATCTTGGCCCAATGCCGAGCCTCAAGGAATTGTGGGAGTTGAAGTCCACCACAGCTGGAGGGCCAAAGGTTCCCTACCCCTGATCTAGACACTACGCTGTTGGGAGGGTTTTGACTATCTTCTTGCTTGGCAGAAAGGGTTGGACGAGATGTCCTCTGTTCTGGGGGGACATTCAGCACCCAAAATACTCTTTTCTGCACAGACTGAATGACAGCCACAGTGGCGGTCCTAAGCGTGGAACGATATTCCTGCTTTAAAGCGAGCACAGTTTGATCACTGAAGCAAGTGGCAACACAACGGCTTCCCTCCAGAAACAAATCTGTTGCTTGAATTAATGCCATCCTGCGCACATTTCAGGCCATTTTAGAGCGGTTGCTCCTGGCAACAGATTCATGCCACAGGAACACTTATTCCGTGCATGCATTGGAGGGGAGCAAGGATTGAAAGAAGCAAGGAAGCAATTTACCGTATCTACTCAAATATAAGCCGACCCGAATATAAGCCAAAGCAATTTTACCACAAAAAACTGAGAAAACATATCGACTCAAGTATATGCCAAGGGTGGGAAATGCAGCAGCTAGTGGTAAATTTCAAAATAAAAATAGAGAGCAACAAAATTACATTAACTGAAGCATCAGTAGGTTGTTTTTGAATATTTACATAAAACTGTAATTTAAGATAAAACTATCCAACTCTGATTAAACCATTATTCTAAGCTTCAATGTAAATGTGTTTACATATCTTTCCAATAATAATAGAGAGTAAAATAATAAATGTAATAAATATCATAATAGAGTAAAATAATGGAAATGTAATACTAATGGTAATAATAGATGTAATAATAATAAATGTCATAATAGTAATAGTAATGGTAAATTAAGGGAAATATAATAATAGGAACAATAGAGTAAAATAATAAATGTAATAATAATAGGGTAAAATAATGTAAATGTAATAATAACAATAATTAATAGAGAAAAATAATAGATGCAATAATAATAAATGTAATAATAATAATAGCAATGGGTTCTTATAGGTTTTTCCGAGCTATATGGCCATGTTCTAGAGGCATTTTCTCCTGACGTTTCGCCTGCATCTATGGCAAGCATCCTCAGACCTCGATACCTCTGAGGATGCTTGCCATGGATGCAGGCAAAACGTCAGGAGAGAATGCCTCTAGAACATGGCCATATAGCCCAGAAAAACCTACAACAACCCAGTGATTCCAGCCATGAAAGCCTTTGACAATACAATAATAGCAATAGTAATAATAGAGTAAATTAAGGGAAATGTAATAACAGGAATAATAGAGTAAAATAAATAAATGTAATAATAATAATAGGGTAAAATAATGTAAATGTAATAATAACAATAATAGAGAAAAATAATAAATGTAATAATAATAACAGAGTAAAATAATAAATGTAATAATAATAATAATAATAATAATAATGGGTTGTTGTAGGTTTTTTTCGGGCTATATGGCCATGTTCTAGAACATCTCTAGAACATGGCCATATAGCCTGAAAAAACCTACAACAACCCAATGATTCCGGCCATGAAAGCCTTCGACAACAACAACAACAACAACAATAATCACAACAGCAGCAGAGTAAAATAATAAATAACCTTGACTCAAGTATAAGCCGAGGGGGGCTTTTTCAATCTTTAAAAAGGGCTGAAAAACTTGGCTTATACTCGAATATATATGGTATTCTCTAGCAACTATAGATCCCTCTGGAGCCTCTGCTGTGTTCAGCCTCATTTTGTGCGGCAAATGTCTTAAGTTGACAAAGCAACTAACTGTTATAGATACCTAATGGCCGGGTGCTTCCTATTGATCCTAAATATACGCTGCATCTAATGGAAGTTAATATTTTGCTTCACCTGTCAGAAGATACCAGACAAATGTTTTATAAGTCGTTGTTGATGTTGTTGCGTTAACCCTTCTCTTCTTTGCTTTTCATGAGCTTGGAACTTGGCTGTCCAGTGTGAGAATTGTCCGCGAATAATGAGAGATTTCTTTATAATGTCTTTCAAGGTACATTCCCAAAGACAGATTTCTTTGTGGCAAAAGGGATGCGAATTCAAACCCTGCTTTGAAAGGTGGCCCAATAGCTCCCTAGAAGTGACGTCAAAGCTAAGAGTACGGACCATAAGCACAGAATGGGAACACTAATGTTATATATGATCACGGTGGGTCCCTCAAGCATTTCGCTGCCCAGAGTTATCAAGGTTTCCCTTTAGCTCAGGAACCCAGGGAAGTATTGGAGCAGAACTTGGGTTCTGTCTATGCGAAAGAAGAATAAAATGGAAAATGGTAGGAAAAGTATTCGGAGAAAATATCCCTTTGGAACAAGAGAAATTACCATGGCAGTGAGGCTCATCTGTGCTCAAAGATGGAAAGAATAAACTCCCACGACGCAAAGGGATTGTCTCATGGAGATTTATTTATTTATTTTAGGGCATTTATATCCCATCCTATTTCACCTCCACAGAGGGACTCAGGGCGGCTAGCAAACGGCACATCATAGAGATGTGTGAACGAGCAAGAAGGGACAAACATGATGTTGATGGAGAAGAAATAACTGTAACATGGGTTTTCTTCCTGGGTTATAAATGTCATTTCCCAATCGGTTCTATCATGAAAACATGGAAAACATTTATTAAACTGCAAACACTTTGTTTTTGTGGGAGGGGCATCCTGCAGCAGCACATTTTGCTATAGTTTTCCAATGAATATCTCATCACCAAGTCTCAATCAATTCAACATAGTTTGTGGCAGCCACAAAAACAAAGTTTCTGGAGTAGAACTACTTTCAAAGTAAGAACTGCACAATTAAACAAGAAATAAAACTTTCGAACCAGGAACAGATTTTTTTTCAAATTTTGTTTTATTTATTTACATTTATATGACGCCCTTCTCACCCTGAAGGGGACTCAGAGAGGCTTACAAGATATATATATATATATATATATATATATATATATATATATATATATAGACACACACACATATACATACACACACACAAATATTATTAGCATAGCACCATATTAGTATTATATATTACTATATAGCACTATATATATATATTACTACATATTACTATATATTACTATATATTACATGACTGGACTTAATGTCAGGGGACAACCTTTACCTTATATAGCACTATACAATTATACTGTAATATTATTAGTAATATTACATGTAATATAAAAAATATATAATTATAATATATTATTATTAGTATTATTATTATATTACATAGTGTAATCAACGACTTATTCATTACACTTCATCAGCAAAGATGGGGTCAAACCTTCAGTATTGTTTTTAAAATAATTAGAGTATGATGAAAGGATGTATCAATGGTTTTTCTTCTTTAAATGGACAAAGTGGAAAATTGAGGAAATAAAACTACCAGGCAGAGTGTGTAAAATTAGTAATATATAATACTAATATTGTGCTTTGCTAATAATATAATATATTGTATGTACATATAATATTGATCATAATATTATAATGTAATACAATATACTACTAACAGAATATAATAATACAATAATTATATATTACATGTAATATTACTAATAATATTGCATTAAAATGCTATAGTACAATATAGTAATATATATAATACTAATATTGTGCAATGGTAATAATATAATATGTTGTATATACATATAACCTATAAGCTGCTCGGAGCACCCTTCGGGGTGAGAGAGGGTGGGGTATAAAAATAGCAAATAAATAAATAAAATTAGGAACTTTAGATCTGTATGTCATCAGCGTTTAATGGTTGTGTGTTTTTTATATTAGGAAAATGTATTTCTATTTTTCTGTCTTATTTTTTGGTCTGATGGTTTGTATTCCTGCTTTATATGACAGTTTGTATATTTTGAGTTAGCTTTTCTGAAGAAAAATTACATTGAGTAGCAACATTTGAAAATCAAGTCTGTTCCTGGTTTGAATGTGTTATTTCCTGTTGAATTGTGTGGTCTGTACTTTGAAAGTAGTTGCTTTACTCCAGAAACTTCATTTTTCTGGCTGTCACAAACTAGGTTGAATTGCTTGAGACTCTATGAGACATTCATTGAAAAACTAGAGCAAAATGTGCTGCAGGATGTCCTTCCAGCAAAGACAAAGTTTTTCCAGTTTAATAAACCCTTTCCATGTTTTTATGATCGAACCAATTAGGAAAGGACATTTATAACCCAGGCACAAAATTTGTGTTGCATAGTGTAATTTAACTAAAATATTTGGTTTCCCTTGCTGATAGACAATAAGTCTGTCTTGCGCATGTCTCATTCCAGTTCTCCCAGCTTTGCCCTTCAGATAAAGGCACCCTTTTAGCCCAAAGGACCTGCCTCCTGATGGCGGCCGCAGTTGACCTGGACGTCGCCAGGAAGAGTCCACTGCCTGACGATCAGGTAGAGTCGAGACAGAGCGGGAAACCCTGTGCAGCTCCCTTCTGACAGATACAATGAGTTTCAAATTGATTTGCATAAGGGGACTCTAACCGATGATGACCCTCTCTTAGGGTTCATTAGATTTCTAGACAATTGTGAAATCATTCACTTTGCATTGAAGATTAGAATTAGAATTAAAGGCGTCTTTCTTTCTTTCTTGCAAACTTTCCATCATTTTGCATTTGTCTGGAGAGTTGTTCAACTGCATTCCAGCAAACCAAGGAGCCAGAGCACCTTTAATACTTGGACACTGATTCCCCAAAGATACGGTCCAAATGTATAAAGTTGCAAAGATTGTCAAAATACGACGTTTTTAAAAAATTATCTTTTTTCCCAAAACAGATTAAGTTGCTGAGGCAGGCCCTTGAGCGCATCCAGTCCTGCAGGGAAATTTGGAAGTTCCTGAAGCAAACAGGTCAGCAGAGACTTTAGTATTTGCTGCTACAGATGCCATTGTATCCACAGAATTAATGAATTTTGAAATTCCCCTTTGCTTCCTAGTGATGCAGTTGGTGTCTTTTCTTAGATGCAGAATGAAACAAAGGGACAGAAAAGGAAAGAATGGAACAACCACGTGCATTTTTTACTTGTTAAAAAATCTAACTGAATTGGATTGACACCTGCATGCAAAGAACTGCAAGAATGGCCTTATTAATACCTCAGGCATCGCAGACACATAAAATGCCCATCCTTCAGGTGGCTTTTCCCTCCACATGAGGGACACATCTTAAAGAAAGTGGTGGTCAACATACCATAACCACGACAAAATAAAAAATAAAATTAAAGTAAAATTAAAATAAAATAGTAAAAATTCACACAGTTCAGAAACGCTAGTCAAGGATGAAGAAAAATGAGAGAAAGATTCCTAGTTGTTGCAATGGTGGCGTATGAAAGGATCTGAGGCAGTAGCCCCTCCCACTGGTTATATATACTCTCAAGGGGAGAGTGGGTAGGGCTACCACCTAAAAGTGTCTAATAAGTTTTCTAGAAGATTCCGAACTGTCTGTGCAGGCGCAGGAAATACCATATGTGCGATTCATAAGGACCACGATGGGGAATTGAAAAAGCTTGACCCTGGGACACAGTGGTCAAGTAACAAAATTTGAAAAAAAAATTGAAAAAAAAATCTGTTCCTGGTTTGAAAGTGCTATTTATTGTTTAATTGTGTGGTTCTTACTTTGAAAGTAGCTGCTATACTCCAGAAACTTTGTTTTTTTGTGGCTGCCACAAACTAAGTTGAATTGGTTGAGATTCTCGGAGATATTTATTGAAAACTAGAGCAAAATGTGCTGCAGGATGTCTGTCCTGCACAAACAAAATTTTTGCAGTTTAATAAACATTTTCCATGTTTTAATGATAGAACGAATTAGGAAATTATATTTATAACCCAGAAATAAAAAGCGTGTTACATAGTGCAATGTTTCCCACCTTGAGCAACAAATGACGTTGCTGTGGAAAACTCCATACCATCGCTATTGCAACTGTTCAAGGCCTCTATCTTCTTACTCACAGAAACAATATTGTCTTCTGGGTGTTGTTGAAAGCTTTTGTGGCCAGAATCACTGGGTTGCTCTGAGTGTTCTTGGCTGCATGGCCATGTTCCAGAAGTATTCTCTCCTGAAGTCTTCTGTTTGCTTCCTTGTAAACCCACGCTTGGGGAGCTTTCTGGCCAAAAGAAATACCTCAAAGAATTGAGTTTTGTGGACCAGCTGCATGTGAGATCCCCTTTCTGCTTAATAGGTGATTTCCCCAAGGATCCCACAGATGCCATCCTGCTGCTTTACGAATTCGAAGCCCGAGCCAAGCTGAGTGATCCAACTGTGGCTGACCTGCTGGACCAGGTGTGGGAGCTGTCCCAAGTGGACATTAAGACGTTGGAAACGATGGCAGGTGAGTGGCCAGCATGCCCAGGGAGGGGCAGGGCTGGGGTCCACACACAGCAGGCATTTCTTTTTGTATCAGACTGGGTATCTTTTGATCACATTTCCTGGGGGATACATGTTGCCCAAGAGCCCTTTTTTGCTGCTGTCTCTGCTGCTCAGATGCAGAGGCTGCCAGGTTGAAATTTGGCCTTAAAAGATGTCATGATGTGACAGGTGACACAGTTGAGGCTGGAGGAACAGGCTCTGTTTTATAGGCTGTGTTGTAGGGCTTACCATGTCACATGGACAGGCATAACTTTGCCCTTTGGGAATGACTCTTGTCCCCGTGTTCTTTCTCAAGCACTGGCCATGGAGCCCCCTGCTCATTACCCCTCCGTATGCAAGAAGGCCCTCAAGATGGTTCTGACTCTTCTCAAGCAACATGAAGCCCTGGATACGGTCACATTCAGGTCAGTGCTTGCGACAGGGAAGAGCGATGTCCCTTGAGGGCTATGTATTCCAGAAACATGACAATCCTCAGTGACAGGCCTTCATCAACTGCTGTCCCTCCCCTCTCCATGGCTGTACACATTTCCACACCTGGAAGTTCCTCTTGGCCTCATTTCTTTGGACCCCAAGGCCATGAAACAGCCCTACCGCTGACAGAGCGCCAGGCATAAAACCCTAACGATGTACTGGCACTGCCTTTTGCATACCTTTGCAACACAGCTTAGTGGTGCCTCCTTAGCCACTAAGTGAATCATGGGGTGCTCCCAGATGAGATCCTGGAGGTCCAAGTGGACATCAGCTGCTCCCTTTTCTTGAGAAGTGCATGGACCTATGCTCTTCCCAGGAGGTGCATGTACCCTAGCCCCATTGAACTGAAATTGTTTTGCCTAAGGAGATCATGGTGCCTGCGCCTGCTGTATCTCAAAATCACAATTACACCAGGACATGACACTTGCAGTTGAATGGCAAAGTATGGCATGTGAAGGTTAGCCTGTGAACCATTTACTTGTTGAGTTGAAGAAGGGATAGACCTTAGTATTTACCTCTTGTTTAGGAGACTTAGAAGATGGCTTCTCCTTGAGAAGCACTCCCTTCCCCTTTAGTCAAGCTCCACTACCTTGAGCCATGGAGATGGCCAAATGGACAGCAGCAGAGAAGCATGCTCACTGTGAGGCTCTTTGCTCACCATGTCTCTGGTTACTACAGAAATAGAGCCATTATGCAGGTGTTTGTCCCAAGGCATTATTTCTCTTTCCCTTTTTATTACTCAGCAAATGCCTGCACAGCTTGGTCCACCTTTCCCTGCCGTCTGGCATCATCGAGGCAGGCATGCAGGCACTGGAGGAGGCATGGGGCTATTTCGAAGACGCTTTGAGCATTTTGGGCGGTGTGGTAAGTTGGGCCGATACAAAGCTGGCCACTGAAGTTCCACTGCAGGATAAGGCACCTCAGCTGGCCTGAAAACATAACGCTGGAAGTCACAAACCAAGATGTCTGTGGCGCATAATAAAGCTCCTAGGGAAGAGTGAGGCACTGGTTTCTTGGTGGGGATGCTGCCAAACTGGGCCATCCTCCAATTTGGTGGCTGGTATGAACCCTTCACCCCTGTCTTGGCCTACAGTCCTGAGGGGCATCGGAAGAGCTGCCTAGCCTTCCCATGCGTACACACAATTCTTGGTTTGGCGCAAGCGTTCTGCTTACTCTTGGAATTTCTCTGGCTTTTGGCAGGTGCAGCAGGCTGACTACCCCGAGGTGGAAATCCTCTGGCTGATGACCAGGGCCTGGAACACAGGGATATACCAGTACTGTACCGGGAAATACTCAGAAGCTGAGCAATGGTGCGGCCTGGGCATGCGCTTCTTGGCTCACCTGGGGACCCTGAAGGGCAACTATGAGAACCAGGTGAAGGGAAAGGAATAAGGGGAGGGCCGAACCTGGCCCCAGATGGCCAACTGACCCAAGCTGCTCTTTGCCCACAGATGGTTGGCCTTTACGGCGAGGTGCTGGACAAGCTGGACAGAGCAAAGGGATTCCTGCCCAATAAGGAACTATGAGAAACCTGTGCCAAACCCATGCCAAGGGCCCCAAGCTCTGAGCTGTGGCTGATCCTTGGTAAGATAGTGGAAATATGGAGGAATTGATGACTCTTCTCTGCAGTTCATTTCATGGAAGCAGGTGTGTGCTTTCTGTCCTTGTTTAGACACACAGTTGTACAAGCAGAATGATAAAACAGTTCAAGCCACCAGACAACCTCTGTGATTCTCTTCCTGTACAAATATTTATCTGCTTTTGCTTTTTTCCATCTGTTGGGCTACAAGGCAGCATGACCAGCTGCCAAAGGCTGAAATCCCTGAGCCACTGGGGCGCAATGGCTTGAGTCTTGGGCAGGGGCTGACTCTGCCTCAGAGGAAGACAATGGAAAACTGCCTCCAAAGAAATCCTGAGAATGGAAGGTACACAACCACCACAAAAAATCCATGTATCATAGAATCCTAGAGTTGAAAGAGACCTCATGGGCCATCCAGTCTAACCCCTTCTGCCAAGAAGCAGGAAAATTGCATTCAAAGCACCCCTGACAGATGGCTATCCAGCCTCTGCTTAAAGGCCTCCAAAGGAGGAGCCTCCACCACCCTCTGAGGCAGAGCGTTCCACTGCTGAACAGCTCTCACCATTAGGAAGTTCCTCCTCATGTTCAGGTGGAATCTCCTTTCCTGTAGTTTGAAGCCATTGGGCAGCAGAAAACAAGCCTGCCGTCTCCTCCGTATGACTTTCCCCCACATATTGATACATGGCCCTCATCATGCCTCCTCTCAGCCTTCTTTTCTGCAGGCTAAACATGCCCAGCTCTTTAAGCCGCTCCTCATAGGGCTTGTTCTCCAGACACTTGATTATTTTAATCGCCCTCCTCTGTACACATTCCAGCTTGTCAACATCTCCCTTCAACTGCTGTGCCCAAGTGTGATTCCAGGTGTGGTCTGACCAAGGAAGAAGAGAGGGGTAGCATGACTTCCCTGGATCTAGACACTAGACTCCTATTTATGCAGGCCAAAATCCCATTGGCTTTTTTAGCTGGCTCATCTTTAACTTGTTGCCCACGAGGACTCCATCATCTTTTTCACACGTACTGCTATCAAGTCGCGCGTCCCCCATTCTGTATCTTTGCACTTCATTTTTATGTCTAAGTGGAGTATCTTGCATTTGTTGCTCTTGAACTTCATTTTGTTGGTTTTGGCCAATCATCTCTCTAATTTGTTAAGATCGTTTTGAATTCTGCTCCTGTCTCCTGGAGTATTGGCTCTCCCTCCCAATTTGGTGTCATCTGCACACTTGATGAGCATGCCTTCTAATTTTTCATCTAAGTCATTAATAAAGATGTTGAACAGGACCGGACCGGGGCGAAACCCTGCTTATGCACTCCCTTCCGCCTTATTTCCAAGATGAAGAGGAAAACAATCCCCTGAATCAGCAGTTTGTTTTAACTTATCTTTATGTGGGCAACTGTTCTGTGAAGACAGAATGTGGGACCTGTAAACAAATCTTACAAATTCAAGGGTGCGAGGATGCAAGCCAGGGGTCCTCAAACTTTTTAAACAGAGGGCCAGGTCACAATTCCTGAAACTGTTGGAGGGCCGGATTGCGAGGGGTATTTTTTAAATAAGGCCCATTTTGTTGTAGACACTAGTAGTTCGCGTGCATACCGCAACGAGCGCGTGCGTAGTGTACTGGCATGCCTCGGGAACAACTCTGCTCAGTTTCCGCTCTGTAGCTAACCTGTACGGTTCTGTTCTGTGCTTTAAAAATGTTTAAGACTATCAACTCACCCTCCACGTTCGCTCGCTTCAACTGAAGCCACCAAATTGTTTGTAATCAAAGAAGGGCGACCGGAGCGGTCCTCATCATGGACGTTGTCAAGGTCATCTTTGAATTGTCGTACCCACTTACGCGCTTTGCTTTCACTCATAACAGTATCACCGTACACTTCACAAATCTGTCGATGAATTTCTGCAGCAGGCAGGTTCCTTGCTGACAAAAACCGTATCACTGAGCGAACCTCACATGTGACGGGCGAGTTGATAGTCTTAAACATTTTTAAAGCACAGAACAGAACCGTACAGGTTAGCTACAGAGCGGAAACTGACTACAGTTGTTCCCGAGGCATGCCGGTACACGCCGTACACACTCGTTGCGGTATGCACGCGAACTACTAGTGTCTACAACAAAACGGACCTTACTTAAAAAATACCCCTCATATAATTTGAAAAAAAAAAAGAATAAATTCCTATGTACACTGCACATATCTTATTTGTAGTACAAAAAGACTTTAAAACAATACAATAATTAAAATGAATAATAATTTTAACAAATATAAATTTATTAGTATTTCAATGGGAAGTGTGAGCCTTCTTTTGGCTGATGAGATAGGATTGTTGTTGTGTGTTTTCAAGTCATTTCAGACTTAGGTTGACCCTGAGCGAGGGCCGGATAAATGTCCTTGGAGGGCCATATCCATCCCGTCCCCCTCCAGGCCTTAGTTTGAGGACCCCTGATGTAAGCCTATGAACGATAGAAAGTGCACAGTAATGCCATGAAATCCAGTCCATTAATGGAGAGGGTTGGAAGAAACTGTCGGGAGGCAGGTTCATTGCAACGTTCTGTTTATTAAAAATATATGTCTCCTTGGAAGAAACACTGGTAAACCCACTAGTGTCATGATCGATACTTTCCGCTATGCCACAGAGCACATAGACCGTTTTTTGTTTCTCCATGGCCTAGAAGACAAAGTGGCAGGCTATTAGAAAAGAAAAGGGGTCAGAGCCAGGGGCCGGCAAGAGGAAGTTGGTGGCTGCCCCCCTCTGCCAGAGACCCCCCCCCCTTTGTGGGGCATCACTGGCTCCCACGTCTGTCTCCTCCTCCTCCTCCTTCATAGTCCTGCCAGCAAACAGCAGCAGCTCTGGTCGCAGGAAAGGTCCGCTTGACGCTCCTTGCGACACCAGCGGACGGTGTGGAAATGGCTTCTTGCTTACCAGCACGAATCTCCGCAAGAGGACAGTTTTTTTTCACTCATGTTTAACAACGAAGCCCGTGCACAAATCACATAATGAATGACACAGCTACCTACCAGCGACGGAGTGGGCAGCACCACCCTGATACCAGCCGAGTCCAGATTCTTCTGGGTCTCTTCTTAAAACAGCCATGGCTCTCTCTGAGGAAACCGGATTGGGCAACACCACCTCTTTTAAAAGGGCAGCAGGGATAACAATCTCCGGGAAGTCAGCCAACCTTCCCTTGGGCCGAGAGGCAAGGGCCTGCCCTGGATAGGGAGATGCTGTAAGCCTTCTCCCTGGTTTCTTCCCAGTCCCATGCAACTCTCTTGTTCAGGGACAAAATAAGCTCTGCAGCAAAGACAGTCAACGTACGGATAGACGTCTCTGAGATGAGCACACACCTCAAGGCTCCTGCGAAGCAGCCGCCTCAGACCTTGGAAGACGAACAGTTTGTGCCTCACAGCAGCAGAGAGCCTCCTGCATTCCTCCTGCAAGAACATTGGAGAGGGAGGCCCGGACCCTCTCTTTGCAAAGGGCTTCAAGTGGTGAGCTTGATCAAATTCTGCAAAGGAAAGGATTCCCAGAGACACTTGTCCTAAATTCCGTCGTGCGATTGAAATACTGTGACCTCCAAAGACACAGGTTCTCCTCTTCTCGTCCTCTTCTCTTCCTCGGCTGCTGCCCTCCCAGCTACTCCCGGCACGGAGCTCCATGTTCTTCCACCAGAATGAGACACCAAAGCTATAAAGCCTCTCAATTGCGAACCGGTGCGCTCATTCCCCACAGTCCATAGTTTGGGCCTGGACCTAGAATCTATTTACAATGGAACGATCTTAAAAAATAAGTTAAAAAAACTTGGTTGTATACCCGTTCAGTTCGTTATTAAAACCAAAAGCCTGGAATCATGAAAAGCCAACACACCAACACAAATATGATTTTGGTTTAACACCAGCTTAAAAAAAAAAAGGAAGGAAGAAGGTAACCTCATGCAAACACATCAGGTGACGAAAAAATAAAACAATGTGCAATTAATATGTAGTATTATCCATTCGCTTTCTCGTGCTGAGATCAAGCGTCGTAACTTCAGATGTGATTCCGGGCCCTCGGCTTCATCCACAGTCGTCTCCACAGAACTGGCTTTGGAAAAAGCACCACTCGGTGCCCAAAAAACACAACTCGGTACCATTGGGTTTGCGCCGGCCGCCAGAGCCTTCTGGGCCCAGCAGCCGAGGCACGGCAGCAATACATGTCTTGCACTCACAAAGTACCACTTAAGCAGCCCCCCTCAGATTTTCTAGTCCATATACACACACACACATATAATATATATATGTATATATATATGTGTGTGTGTATATATATATAGTATATATATTATATATAGCTACATACATAGATAAATAAATGCATTCTGTTGCTTTTCCTTCAGTCACAGTGCTGGGCAATCCCTGCGCTCTGAGGGCTGCCAGTCCTTGGTAGAGTTCCAGGGCAGTCACTATCTGAGTCTTCAGGCCAGTCATCATCTGCCACCTCCCGCCTGACTTCTAATTGTTCTTTGTTAATTTTCTTTTCTTTTTTAAATTAAAAAACACACAAAACTCTCAAAAGGGGGAGAAGGGGGTTGTCTCCTTTTCTAAGGGAGCAGCAGGAAGGTCCATGCAGGATTGACGGGGACAGTCGCTTGATGGAGGAGACTGTGTCCACCCCGAGAAAGAAAGGAAGAAAGAAAAACAGGACTAGAAAACGCAATTGTCAACCATCTAAAAAAGGGAAAGGGGTGGTCTTCTGGCTCCCCGCTCGGGGCAGAGGGCAAGGGGAGGGGTCTCTGATCTTCTTCTTCTCCTCCTCCTCACAAGTGGATCCTGGGGTCGGGGAAGGAGGGGGGGCTTCACAGTTTCTCAGGGGACGGGACCCAGATGTAATGCCCGGACTGGTCCTCGATGATCTGTTTGATTTTGCTGTAGATCTCCTCCAGAGAGTCTCCTTGGACAATGGCTGTGGCAGGAGACAAAGCAGAACCCTCTCTCACTGGGCAGAAAGGGTGCCAATCTAGCCCACCCTTTTGGCTGCAGGCAGCCCATTCCGTGCCTCCCAAACCCCAATTCCACTGTGGCACTTGCCCACAACTCGTTCAGAGCCAAAGCCTCTCCTATTCCCATGCTGCTACCACCTCTTCTTACCAGCTGAGCAGCAGACTTAGGCTCCCCCCTTCTGTGGAGCTCCACCCCACTTTCTATGAATCTTTCAGCCACACCCCAGGGTTGCACTCTTCCTCAGGTCCACCCTCATTTATGTCTAGTCCATTCCCGGCTTGCTTTTCAGCTTCTTCCAAGCCCCACAACATTATGTCAAGCATGCAGTGGTAGCTTCTATGAGAGCCCAGCCTGGATTCTCACCTGTAAAATACTCTCCAAACTCCTGCTCCAACTTCATGGCTTTGTCAAAGACCTTGTTTGCTTGCTCATACGTCTGCCGCCGGTTCATCTCCCTGTCAGCCCAAAGAGAGCAGCCTCATGCAATTGTATCAGGTGCAAAGCCGGGCGCTGTGCTACCGGGGAATATGGGCGCAGCCACAGCGGGTGACTCATGGAGTGGAGCACTGAGACTCTGCGCTCCTCCCTTTCTCCTCCATGTGCCACAGGGAGCCTGAAGGCAATGGGAACTGGGACAATGTAAGCACTGCCTCTCTGGTTTCAGCCCCTTCACCATCATCCCCTGGCAAATTGTCCCCTGAAGAGACGGCTCCATTACACCCTTGCAGCTTTGAGTTACGGAAGGCTCTAATGTGCCCTCAGTAAGGTCTGGGGCCACATTATGTCAGAGGCTGATCTTTCTAAGGTAGGCCTTAAAGGAGAGCATCAGTCCAGGAGGCAGATTCCTTGAGGCATTGGGCCAAATGCATTGCTAACTCCCTTCAAGGCCTTCATCTGGCTTGGACTGGGAATGCCCCCTCCTTCCTGCCACCCACCATTCCTCCCAAAAACATCCATCCCCCCCCCCCCCAAATTCTCCAGGACTTACATCAGTGCCTCAATAGATTTGGGCTTGATGAAAATCGCAATGGGGAACAGTTGCGCTTGCTGCAGCCTCTTGATCGCGTTGCCAGACACATCGAGGATGCAGTGCTTCCCCTGGAGGAGAGAAAGGCATTTGTTACCACACTGACAAGCCTTACAGTTTGCTCCCCTCAAACAACAGTGGCCAGGAGACCCACCCGCTCAGCTACTGCTCGCACAGACTGGATACTGGTCCCGTAGAGGTTGTCGTTGAACTGCCCAGCCTCAATAAACTTGCTCTCTTGGATGTCCTTCTCCATCTGCTCCCGGGACGCCACAAAGTGGTAGTCCTGCCCATCGACCTCATTCTCACGCCGGGGCCTGGTCGTGTCTGGAAAAGAATGCACCTGTCTGCCTGCTGATCAGACAAACATCAAGAGGAATGGCGACACATGGGCATGCATTCCCTTTGCCAGCACTTGGCATTAACCTCTCCCCTCCCTCTCCATAAGGAGCCATGGGGGCAATATTTACGGGGCACGCAGGAGCCAAACTTGTGTGGGAACTCTGAGATGAGGTCATCGTTGACGCGATCCTTCATGGGTCCCAGGACTATCACCGGCCGCGCATAATGGACTGCAAGGATGACAGGGAGCTTTAGAGTGCAACTCACCCAGGAGGGAGAACCCACAAGATCAACCAACAGCTTCCCAGGGGCTGCAAAGCAGCAGGTGTGCTTCCTCCTCCTGACTTACTTTCTTGCCGTGTCACAGGCTCATATGACAGAATGGTGTCCTCTTGTCCTTCTGAAAGAAACGGGAAAGAAAGAGTCAGATTCTGGCAGCCAAGCCATCCTGCAATCTCAGAGACTGAACTTCAGCAACACAACCCATTTATCTATACCATTCCAGGACCAGAAAACATTGCAAGAATGCCGTCATGTCCCCCAGGGAGTGTTGAGAGGCATCTGGGGAGGAATGGGTCAAGCAAAGGGCCACAGAAGTTTGCATCTGGAATGGACAATGGGAGGCACACTTACTGGAACTGCTTTCGCTGTCACTGGTGTTGGATGTCACTCCCTCTGCAACCAAGGAAGAGATCCCAGTCAGTATACACAGAGGGCATTGGGAAAGTTCATTGTCAAATACTGATTGATGGTCACAAGCACTGGGGGGGAAAGGGGCACCGGAAGGGGAAGAAGAGCAGGGCAAGGTGAAACGAAGTAGACTTTGGGAAAGGCCCAGTGAATCTCTGGAGGGAACTCTGGCCTCCTTACCCTCCAGACCAGAAGCTAATGAAGGGCTGCGTGGATCTCTTGCCAAAGAAGAGTCAAGCATTGCTCAGACTTATCCTGCCTCAGCAGCCCATCTCCGCAGGGGACTCAGGACCAAAGCACAGATATTCTGCCCTGGTCCCAGATAGCTACTTTCTATGGCATAATCCTGCCACAGAGGAGGAAGTGGGGTCAGGGAGAGGAAAGGATGGACTGACAGAGCATGCAAGGGAAGATGACAAGAAAACCCTCTGGAGCGAAACACGGACCCTTTCTGTGGCAGGAAGAAAGAGACGTTCACATGCAATGCCTGCACTGCTCTGTTGGGACTTTGGCAACATGAGGAGTCTCTCTCTTCCTGGCACCCATCAGCAAGTGTCCACCATTGGAGGGTGCAAAGGGGAGATTGGTTTGCAAACTCCCTCAGCTGGACTCCATCACCATGCATAAGGAGTTGTAAGAGGCAGCAATGGACTGGCTGGGTTCAAGGGGGACGTTCCCGGTCACACACATGCGAGCAATGAAATGTGATCGTGTGCAGTGAAATTCCACTTACTCAGGTTCTTTGCGCCATAATAATCGTCACTTAACCCAGGAAAGTCCTGATTCACAGCCAATCAGAAAAGGGAGAGAAGGGGGAAAGAGAAAAAGAAAGAGGAGGCAGGAAAGACAGAGCCAGGACAGCATTAGTGACAAGAGTGCAGAATGGCTCAGAGCTGCAACAGCAAGTGACATTAACGCTCCTGACCAACACCTGCAAAGGGCCTCTCTGCCTCCAAAGCATGAGAGGCATTTGGCATCACCAGACAGAGCCCTGGCTCTTATTAAACCAGTGGCCAAGAGGCAAAGAGCCAAGAAGCACACTGCCAGCAGGTGACTTGCTCCACTCCATTCCTCTCACCAATCCACACATTCTTACTTCTATTTCACTGCAGTTATTAACACAGAGCCACCACTAACCAATAAACAAGACAGAGGAAGGCTTGCAGGGCCTCGGAGGTCAGTCCTGAGCCTTTACTGTAGAGGTTAGTCTGTCCGCATATTAGGTTGCCCTGTGACAGCTGGCACAATGCGGCTAATACGTGCCACACTCTGGGCTTGCTGCTACAGCAGAAGAGAGCCTTCCTTGTTGACTTGTTCCCACTAGTCAGTCTCTTTATGCTCCAGAACACAAGCTGTTTTAGGGGCCCAACAGGAGCCCAAGTATGGTAATTTAAGATACATTGCACTGATTGCATGTCATTTACATACTCCCCCTTATTTATTATGTGCCTTGGGACATGACAAGGAGTGGCGCTTGCTATGGACAGATTGAGTTTTCACCCCTGAGCCCAGCAAACCTGATGGGATCAGGCTTCCCAGCGGGTTTTGTTGGACCAAGTTGACCAAATGGCCTTCTACACCATGACAAGAAGGAAGAGAGAACGTCAAGCAAGAACTCCAAATGAGGAGAAGGCAGAATACTGATGAGCTTGGCAGAACTCCGTGTGGAAGGACAGAACATACAAGGCGGGTTGGAAGAGTCTCTAGCAGAGATCAAGCGAGGAGGAGGAGCAAGCAGCGCTGACCGGGAGCCCGCTTTGCAAGGAGGAAAGGGAGCGCTCTTGGCTGCCCATGCTCTCAGCCCTCTGGCCAGAAGTTGGGCTCCTTTCAATGCAGAGGCAAGGGAGGCAGAGGCCGGAGGGCCCTCTGGAGCCAGACTCTGAGCAGGACAGCAGCTACTTACGTTCCTGTCCGCTGCTCTCCTGGGCCATGTTCTCTTTGCTCTTGTAAAATGGGAATTTTCGGGAGAGGCGGAAACTCTTTTTACGTTTCGTTTTGATCGACTGTGAAGAAGATGGAAGATGGAAGGAGGGGGGCAGAAAGAAAGAAACAAACAAAAAAGAACAAACAATGGAGTTTAAAGCATGCAAGAAAAATAAAAATAAAAATGAACAGACAATGGTGACTGGCGTCAGGGAAGCTACTCTCCAAATGAAATAATGGAAACCACACGAAAACGGGGATGTGAGAGGAAAATTAAGTGCGGAGCGGGAACACATGGATTTTAGGAATGGTGGACGATGACTGATCCATTGGCATTTTCCACAGCAATAAAGGGATTCTCCCTTTGGCTCACCCTGCAGGAGTGACGCTGGCAGGCCTCACTCCCTCTCCTCACTTTCTGCCCAGCTGTTTGCAGGTAGGATGGCCTTCCTGAACACTCACTGCAGTTTTCTAGCTACATTTCAACAACACAACCCTGGCAACAAAGCCATTGCATTTCCCTGTGAACTAGACTGGCCAATGCTCCATCTTCATCCCCTTTCCCAATGCTTTAACTCTTTTGTATTATTGACTTGCAGGATGTTTAAACACTGTTGACTAGCTGTGCCTCAAAGCAGTGTATAATAATAACATCACAGTAATCAGACAAAACCAAGTAGGCAAACTAGCCATTCCTTAGAAAGCCAAGGAGCTGTCAACCCCTTCCCCTTGAGCCACCACTTACCCGGTTGGACTCTATCATCCCAGTTCGGGCATGGAACTTCACTGTTTTCAATCGCGCCCGTTCTTTCTTCTCCACTCTGGTTACATCAAAAGGAAGGAAGGAAGGCAGGTAGGCCCTGGTGTTCACAGGTGGCACCAATCCCATTGTCATCTTTCCCCTCCACCCCCTAGACTTGTTTTGACTACAGAGACACTGCTGGCACCACAAGACACGGCTGGCAAATGCTTCCTCCTCAGTTTGTGGCGCCCAGCTCACAGCACAGACGTCTCCTTGCGACAAGCAGCACATTCCCTGCCCAGCAAGGCATGGAGAAAGCATTCTGCATGAGGTCATTTCCAAATGGCTGGAAACGGGTCGCAGGTGGTCCGAGGGGGCTGCCAAGACACTCACCTCTTCTTGCTTGGAATGACCCCAATCTGCTCGCTCTCTCCGTGAGGGGTGACCAGCCTCGCCTGCCACCACTCGTCGTCCGAGGCATTGATGACATGGAGAATGTCTCCGTAAGAGAAGCTCAGCCCTTGGCTGGGCAGGCAGCTGTCCCGAGTCCGGTCATAGTCAAAGAGGGCCCTGCAAAGAGGCAAGAGCGGGAATGGCATCGGACAAGGCCTTTTGCCCAGCCAGACCAGGATCCTCTAGGATCAACCTGGTCAGCAATGACTGGCGGAGGCACCTTGGGGTTACCAGGCAAGAATTTTTTCAGCCCACTGAGGCCTTCCCCTTCAAATTAGGTTTGCATTTTAGAAAGTGTTTATTCCCGGAATACAAGGGGTAGAAAAATGAAACAGCCTCTCAAGGTCTCTTGCGTTGAAAGACATGGCTGACATCTATTAGCAGTCCACATGTGATTCAGTCTGGAGTGTCTTTAAAATACAAAATGGTCTACTTCTGTATTGGAGGCCAAAACCCTGGCTTCTCTTGATCTGAACTTGCAGTGACTATTTGCAAATCTCAAGGCTGAAGTTTTTAAATCTCCAAATTTGTGACTTCCACCAATGAAACAGTGAAGGTTGTTGCTGATAATGTAGCCAAAATATAAAATAGAGGGGGGAGGAATATTACACTCAGTTTAACTGGATTTACAAACTGTCATATTGGATGCTCAAAAGGTTTCTGAAAACCCACATTAAAGCACCCAAACCACATGCAATGCAGAAGTTTGGCGGGAGGGATAACTGCAAATGCAAGAAAACCCATTTCTGGCCACAAGAGGGGGCCTTTCCAGTGCCATTCCTCCAAAGACAAGCCCTGGCGTGTCATTCCCTGGGCACTGCTCCCAAAAGGAGTGCCTACCTGCCTGCCTGCGACAGGTTTGGGGATTCACTTCCTACTCCAGAGATGATATGGAGGTCAAGTCCGGATCATGTCTTGCGACATAATACACCTTGTAATTATCACCGAGCTTCCTGTCAGTTTCACTTCACTCTGTGCTCGAAACTACCCCACCTGGAAGGGCCAGGCCCACTGTCCCCTGTGCAAAAGGACCTGCAGACGTCTGTCTCAATCCCATATTACATAAGAAGAGTTAGCACTTAACAAGGAAACGTCTTTACTTACTAAACAGGCAATCTATGATTGAAAGGCAGAGCAGGTAAGTCGAGGAAGTTACTGTTCAGGTGAGAAGCACCAGAGCATCCACTGACAGCCACAGGCCATAGTCTTCAATGGGCCAACGCTCATGCCACTGGGTTGAAAAGCCTGAAGCATGCAAGGCCCCATAAATGTGCCACAGTGACTGAGAAGGCACTTGGCCCCAAGGGGTCTCCTTGGGATAATGGACCTGCTGGCTCACACCTCTCCTCCTGCAGCCATATTCTCAGCAAGCTTATTTGAGCGCATGAGAGAAGCAGCACGTCAGGGAGGAAGAAGGCGAAGGAGCCACTCAGCCGCTTCGGGCTCATTGTGTACCTAAGCCCTCTGCCCAATTAGCCAGCTCAAGGGGTAATCCTCCTAAGAGCAAATCCCTTTTGCCAGCAGAGAACAGGCAAAAGACACTCGGAGAAGATGCTCCACGTAACTCAGGGCAGATCTAAGCAACATAGTGAAACAACAACTTCCCTGCCCAGTTCCTTTTGCCTCCACACAAGAGAACACACACGCTGGGCTGGCAGGGAGCCCCACTACCAGCAAAGAAGCAGAAGACTTTGACACATTACTGTTAATAAGCACTCTCAGACAGGGACTGCCTTTTCCTGGAAGCAAAGGATCCACAATCAAGCCTCTGACTTGGCACAACATACAGATTTCAAGAAGACCTTGCCTCATCTCCATCTGGACAAGAGAAGAGCTGTTATCCTTACCGTACATAGAGAGACCGCTTTTCACTTGTCCGAAGAGATCCAGATCCTGAACTCATGCTGCTGTTCATCATTTGTTCTCTGAGATCATGGATCTTGGACTCGAAACGGCTGTACTCTGAAAAGAAAAAAGGAGAAAACACATCAAACAGGGGGGACATGACACACCATCTCCTTCTCATTCCCATTCAGCAAAGCACAATGGCTCAGATGTGTTTAATACAGAAGGGAAAAGGAAGCGTCCCTTATCTGACCTATCCAGACACAGGCTTTGTAAAGATGGCACACTTGCTATTAGGCTGACTGAGATGTACGATTAATATGCTGCAGGTCACATAAGATTGGTCTTTCACCCCACAAAAATTCAAGGTTGCGCCCTCTTTGGCTCAGTAAAATGATATTTTACAGGAGTTCTGGCAGGATGCTGCACTTTACAGAGAGTAGCTGAAAGGTAAGGAGCACCAGGAGCAGCTGTTCATCTTATGGAAGCGTGAATAAGGAACAATATGTTGTTTTCACGACAATTTTCTTTTACAAGGGATTAATCTTAAGAAAACAGGAAGGATAGAAGAGGCTGTAACAATGGATCTAGACATCCACTCATCAGGAGCAGGAAGTGCCTCTTCATTTGTGTAGCAAGAAGCAAAAGAGCTTCCCACTGTTACAGGAAGGGAACACATTCCCCTCAAGATCAGGTTATAGGGAGGACCGCTCGCATCCAAATCCAGCACATGCTGATTCCTTAGGATCAGATTATCTGGAGTTAGAAAAGCGTCTTCCAGTCCTTATGGTTTCCTAAAAAACACACACAGGCATTGCCTGGCATGGGCTCCCTCCTCCTCGGACCCTCTTGTCCATTCATACTTCCCTCATATGCCTGGCTCCCACTTCCACCCACCTCAAAACATCAAGCTCAAAAGAGAAGCAAAGAAAGAGACAGAAAAACAGCTTCATACAGTAAACAAAAGAAAACTGAATTCCGATTTGTGTAGTTCAGCTTTCTTTGCTATGGCATTTAATTAGCCTTGGATCTTTCCTGGCTGTCCACAAGCACCCAGGGGTCTAAATACAAGAGAGCTCCCCATTCCTGGGATTGTATCTCAAATTATACTTAGGAGGACTCTTTTGGAAGTGCTGCCTGCTTCCATGTCCCAGGAAACATACCAAAATAAGAAGGGAAACAACCCAGTCTTGTGTATTATTCCAAGTAGAAGAGCTACGGAGAACTTGCTGCATCTTCTCCCACTGCATGAAGGAACGCTCAAGGATTTGGGACCTAGTAACTGGTGTCCCATTTTGCTTCTCCTTGTCTCATCCCGCCTTTTGTCTTGGAAGCCTGAGGTCAGGGACTACCTTATTGTTTAATCTTTCCAATCTGCTATAGCAGCCTTGACAACGAGAGGATGAATGCTCTGCATCCAGAAATAGATCAGGTATAGGCTCCTTTGTGCCACAAAAGCTTCGGCTCCAATCCAATTGCTCTTTCCAATTAGTTCTGATAGGAACTTGGCAAGTCAATGTTTAGGTCAATTCCATTGATTCAATCAGGACTAGCATTTGGGTTTAGGCTCCTAATGAGAAGTCAAGTGAGACTTCTATATATGCCAGTATACAGGACAGGGCTGATGAATTGCAGGAGCAGAATTCACTAGCAGAAATGTTACACTCCCAAGTGGGCCTTGTCTTCCCTGCCTCACAGAGGTTCTTCAATCACTTCAAAACCTCTCCTCTCCCTCAAATACAAGGGTGGCCTTCAAACAGGTGTAAAGGTCCCAGACAGGAGATGTTGGTTTCTGCTGGTCTTTCTTCCTGGACAAGAGCAAGTACCTTGCAGCAGGAAGACAGAATAATTTTCCTTAAGAGTTCGCCATATTAACTTGTATATAAATTCCACTCTCCTCTGGGTTACTGCAGAGAGCACATCCAAGATTCCAGTGACACAGACCAATCAATTTTCTGTAGCACAAGTTTTCGTTTGCTTACCTTATTCAAATATTTATATGCTCGCTTTCAAAACAAAGCCCTCCTAAGGCAAAGCACGTAAAATCGAAAGCATAAACCAAGTCTTCAAATATACACAGAAATGCTCCAATTAAAATCCCCAACTGGAGCTGTTCAAGCTATTATTAGGCCAGCTCAGGGAAGATTTAATAAAAAAGCAAACTCAACGAAGGTTATTTGAGTATTTTTGAAAATGAAAAGATAAAGATAAAATGAAATGCCCAGAAGGAAAATCCAGAGATGTGGGGCAAGCATATGGAAGCCCCTGTCACCAATGTCCAGCAGCCGAACAGAACCCAATGATGGACTAACATGACCAAACATAAGGCCCAGCCAGATCCCAATACAATCAGTCTTTCAAATAATCCAAACTGTTTGAGTTATCTAGGTCAAAGCCAGCATTTTAAAATGCACCCAGAAATAAACTAGTAACCAATAAACAGGCACAATTTCTATTTCTTGACATCTATTTCTAATGTCAAGTCTCAGTAAAGCCTCCTGTATCAGTCGAACTTTCTAAGAGGGAATAGTCTCAAACTGAGAAATACTCTAGCCTGGCTCTAGGCAGAAAGTGCTGAACTGAGGCAAGGTTCATTTTCAATAGAGTCACAGCTGGCAGAGCAGCCCAGACTGATAACAAGTACCCTTAGTTGCACCACTTTGTCCAGATCAGCAGATTTCTGAATTCACAGCACCAGACTTTTCTGGATTACGTTTCACCTTGTTTGCCTTCAATTTAGCTTCAAATCACTTCCATTGCTATAATACACTTCCCTCACACAAATGAAGTGCTGATATCAGTAGACATATTTATATAAAGGTCTGAGAGGATAAGATAGGTAAACTCTGGAACTAAAAGCCTCTTCCTGTACATGCCAGAGATTGCAGGTGACCAGTGACAGTGACCAGTATTCACTATGTAAAGCAGTGGTTCCCAACCTGTGGGCTGCAGCCCACTGGTGGACCATGAGTCCTAAAATAAGGTCCGCAGCTCTACATTATTAAATATGGATTTCTGTGGGCAAGCAGATGGCAACTACTGGATGGCATAGGTTCTGTATCAGAAATTAGAGCTGATGTGGTCTATCCAATGCAATTTTCTGAATGAGCACCCCAAATAATCAAACCGAATCTAAAGTTGACCAGAAACTGATTCATAACCCTTTTTGGTACTAATGTTGGAGAGTGGTCCCTGGTCAAAAAAAGGTTGGGAAACACTGATAAAGGATCGTTCCCAACAGTCACCATTCATGATAGAAAATGGCCCTACTAAATATGAAATGTTAATATTGCAATCTAATTAACTCTTCTGTCACATTTGGAGTAAAAGAGCAAAGAAATAGAATCATATAGTTGGAAGAGACCGCATGAGCCATCCAGTCCCACCCCCTGCCAAGAAGCAGGAAAATTGTATTCAAAGCACCCCCGACAGATGGCCATCCAGCCTCTGTTTAAAAGCTTCCAAAGAAGGAGCCTCCACCACACTCCGGGGTAGAGAGTTCCACTGCTGAATGGCTCTCACAGTCAGGAAGTTCTTCCTAATGTTCAGATGGAATTTCCTTTCTTGTAGTTTGAAGCAATTGTTCCGCGTCCAATAAACTCACTAATACCAGAATAGAGGCTTCTGGCTGTTTCTTGCGATGTTCCCTGGAATCCTCTGCCGCCAAGATCACCACCAGACATTTCTGGACTACAAATATTTCTATGGACACAAGATAACAAACAACTGGAACAGTCACGTATCCTTGAACAATGTATGTGTTGCGTGTGTGCAGTTAAAAGATGCATATGACAGATAAATAAATGCACATCTTGACTCTTGCCCTTCCTTAGCATGTGACTGCATTTCTTTCTCCGTTAAGACACAACAGGTTAGTGCAACTAAATTTAATTTCTATTTATTCAAAACATGGATCATGTTAAAAACATTAATTCCTGTGATATTTGGCATTGTTCGGTGTAATTTATACACAGATGACACACAGCTCTATTACTTCTTTCCACCAAATTCCAAAGGAGCTTCCCGGATCCTGGACCAGTGCCTGGCTGCTGTGATGGACTGGATGAGAGCTGACAAGCTGAAGCTTAATCCAGACAAGACAGAGGTCCTCCTGGTCAGTAGTGAGGCTGATCAGGGTATAGGGTAGCAACCTGTGCTCGACAGGGTTACACTCCCCTGAGGACACAGGTATGTAGCTTGAGGGTCCTCCTGGACTCAGGGCTGACACTTGAAATTCAGGTGTCGGCGGTGGCTGGGAAGGCACAGGTAAAGGTTGTGTGCCAGCTGTGACCATATCTCGAGAAGCAGACTTGGCCACAGTGGTCCATGTCTTAGCCACAGTGGTCCATGCCTGCATCTATGGCAAGCATCCTCAGAGGTAGTTAAGGGCCTTCACTACCTCTGAGGATGCTTGCCATAGATGCAGGCAAAACGTTAGGAGAGAATGCCTCTAGAACATGGCCATATAGCCCGAAGAAACCTACAACAACCCAGTGATTCCGACCATGAAAGCTTTCGACAATAAAGTTGTTATTGTTGCTGTCTAAAAACACTGGCAATAATTTTATTTCTTTCTTTCTTTTTTTTACTTAACAATTCTGGCCTCGAAGCTACACAAAATTAAAGCAAGCATGAAAAACGTTAAGTGCTACCTGTAAACAGCCAAAGTTCAACAAGGTCCCAACATAAATCTGAACAAAGTGATACTTAAAGGCACCAACAAATAAGAAGTTAAATTCAACAGTCAACAAGCTGGAGGCTTTTAGATTTCTTTAGCAGGTGTTTGTTTAGAATGTGCATAGGTTGTATGTTGTAGAATTAGATAAAGGAGTGTTAGTTACTTTTGCATATAATACAACATTGCTTTTATGGAAGTTAAAATTTCATTTTGTGTTGTTGGAAATATTTGAATTTAATTTTTTTTAAAAGAGCCCAATATAACTTTCCCCTGAATAAGGAGAAAGACCCAAGAAATCAGTTTCTTCTCAAATACCATTTTCATATTCCTAACAACAACAACAACAACAACAACAACAAAACTTTATTTATATACCGCTCTATCTCCCCAAGGAGACTCAGAGCGGTTTCCAAGTAACATAAACAGTACATACAAGAAG